CCCGTCTGGTCCATCAGCAGATCTGCTGGTTCTCTCGACGTGTGTCTAGGATTCGACCGGGTCTCCCCCACCTCCCCTACCACCGGCCGGTCCAGGCCGTATCGCCCACGTGGCTTCCTCACTGTTCTTTTTATGCTCGCGGTTACTCAGCATTTTCTCCAGCTGAAGTGAGCCCAGCAGGGCAGGTGGCGTGGCCAGCGTCAGTCATCCCCGTCGCTGCCTGATGTAACCGCTAGTTCAAGGTCTTCAAGGTCCACCTGAAGAGCGAAGTTCTGAAGACATCTTTCTGGAACCTTCTACCCCCACAATGACTCTTACCAGCACTTACTATCTACAGTTTCCCTTTTCTGTTTTAGTTGTCCTTTCAGACACGCGTGTCCTCGTGTGTACACCTAGTTGCCGACAAACGCCAGATCTCCTGAGCCGCCGTCACCGCAGCGCAGCCCTTACCTGGCCATCCCCAGGGCTGGCCGGCTGGCAGGTGGGACTGTGACCGCTCCAGCAGGAGTCTCAACAAGGCTGCAGGAAATGGTCTTTGCTTTGGGCAAGGTCGCTAACGACCCGGAACCCAGTGCGCCCTTCCTTGAGCTCTCTGCTGCCCGAGGCACCTTTGACTGCTTCCGTTTCTGCCTTGGACACCCTCTTCCCTGGGCTCCCAGACCCTGTCCCCTCTTGCATCTCCTCCTCCGCTCCTTCCTGGTCTCCGGTACCTGTCATCATGCTGCCCTGTGTTACCGTTCCCCAAGATGCCGTGGGGGTGCTCTTTCCTTTCCCAGCTGCAAAGGAAAACAACCGGGCCCGCGGCCTCTGCACCCCTGGCCCTTGTGCTGGTAGGTGCCCCTGCGCTTCTTCTGGGTCACCCTTTCATAGTCTGAGCTCACAGAGGTGAAACACAACTTATGCCGATCCTACCCCAACTCACTCCACCCGATCAGTGTCTGAGATGGAAAGGGGACTGTGGCTGGCGTGGCTGGGGGAAAGAGAGCGCCCCGCACCCTTCGGATGTGGAGTGCAGCCTCCCCAACCCAGGACCAGGGGGCAGCCAGAGCTGCGAGGAGGGGAGAAAGGAGAAGGAGTGATGTCAATGCTGGGCCCACGCCTGCAGCCGAACACACTCCAGAGCGCGCTCTTCAGTGCCAGAGCCGATGACTTTCCTTTCTGCACAAGTCAATTTCCACTGGATTTTGTACTCCTTGCAAAGAAAGTCCTATTTCCACTTTGTAAAGTACGTGAGTACTTAACCACTAGGCTGTCCACCTGAAGTAAATACAAAATAATATTAAACGTAAACTAGAACTGAAAAAAAGAGTCCTATTTGGCATTCCCCCCTCTCCTGGAGCTCCCTCTGTGTACCCACTAAAACTACGACGATTCCAAAATATCCACCTGCAGCCTAGACAGCTCCTCGGAGGTCCGGATTCGTGGCCACCCCCCAAAAGGATGTTTCGTCCCACAGGTTGCACCGGGGACCTCAGTGTAACCAGTGAGAAGTGGAATCTGTCATCTCTGCCCCACCTGCTTGCTCCACTTGCTGTTCTCGTGTTTTCTCTACCCCAGAAGAAAACACCACCATGCACCCATCTCTCAAGTTGGGACTCTGGGTGCCCTAGGCGTCTCTTGCCAGGAAATCCGGATCGAGTGAGGCCATGGGTGGGTGGACGAACGTACCTGAGCCCGGGATTCCCATCCTGACTTTGCACCCTGACCATGCATGCAAAGCGGCCAGTGTTGATGGGTTCCACTCCCATCGCCCACACGTCTCACTCAAAACTTCATCCTCACGCCACCGTCCCAGCTCAGAGCCTCGCTGTCTTCCCCGGACAGCTACCAGACATTTCTACCTCATCTTTGTGTCTTTGATCTCTGCCTCCAGCCACACTCCAATCTGCTGCCAAGATGACGGTCCCCTAGGCGAGCTTGATCAGGCCATGTCCCCCTCTGGCACCTGCAGAATGCAACCATTAGCGGTGCCCTCCACTTCGGCTGTCCCGGGTCACTCACGCTGTTCTTGGGTTCCACGGGTTTGCACCTGGTAACGCCCCTTTCAGCCTGTTCTCTCACCTGCAGAAGAGCTCATCCCTGAGACGCGGAGAATCACACCAGCATGAGCATCAGGCGAGAACTCTGTACCGCGCCCTGACCTGGCCTGATAATCACTCCTGTGAACAGAAGGCTCTTTCCGCAGATTGCCTTTGTTCCTCTGGTAAATCCATCTTTCCTCCGTTTCGTTGTTCGTGTGACAGATGGCACCGCCATCTCTTTAAATGTTAAACTGAAGAAAGGATGCAAAAGTAAAAATAACAAAAAAAAACACTTGGCAAAAAGTCACTATGAAAATGAAAGAAATTGTCGCCGCTATGTTGTCTTAAAGGGGCTCGCCGACTGACTCAAGCTTGGCCTCCCTGGTGCCAGAGAGGAGAGAAACTGAAAAAAGGTACAGAGAAAGTAACTTAAAATATTTTAAAATAATAAATAGCAAAGAGAATGAGAAGAAAGGGAAAATTGCATCTGAAGATGTTGAGGACTTGCTAAGCAACAAACCTTGAAGCCACAAAGAAAATCGATATAGATTTAACCACGTAAAAATTAAACCCTTGTGCACAAAGGTACAACAAGCAAAGATGGGAGAAGCCATACCAGGCATCTGACCGACTAACAAGGAAAGGAGTCAAGTCCAGAATTCACAAGGAGCCTCACAAACTGATGAAACCACAAACGCTTCAATGAGAAACCGGGAGAAAAAAATGTCATGGTGCGACTGAGTCCCAAAGTCAGTCCTTCCTCTAAATTCCAGGTCCCGTGAACAGCTATATCCAGTTGTGCCCTTTTTTTTTTTTTGGTTGCTGTTGTCAAAGAAAAACCTTGAGAAGACGCCGCTTCTCCCCTCCGGGCACGGCTGACTGCGCCTCACGAGGACCAGGACCGCAAGCGCGTCCTGAGGGCTAATGCCCAGGGCAGCCCGCAGGCCACAGCCCGCCTGCACATTCTGAAAAATGAAGTTCTCCTTTCGTTGCCAGCTTTCAAACTACGGAGCTTTTTTCTCCCCATAAAAATGTACAGCTCTCCCACCCCTCCCCAACTCCAAATTCAGATCCGGCGGCGCTGTGCTGGGGCCTTGTTGCACCTGCTCCGGTCTCTGCAGGGGGGAGGCCTGCCCTAGGGGCAGATTCCACCCAGCCCTCCTGCCGCCCGCCTCCCTCCTCCAGGCAGGCCTCCGGAAGGACATGGATGAGTCCCAGCTGACACAGAGTTTACACCACGCAAGTGAACCTTCTGTGGCTGACATTTAGGTCAGTTTTGGTTCAGCCCCTTCTGCCTTCCACCACCAGCCCAAAGAGCTCAGCCTCGGTCACACGGTGCCCCCTCCTTGGTCTCTCCGACTCCCACTGCACAGGGCTACCTGAGACCTTGGATTTAGTTCTAAAATGATGAGTGGGCCTCTGGATGACAGACCCCCAACCTCCCTGCGGGGCGTCAAAGCAGCAAGGTGTGGACAAGTCCTCAGAGTTCAGGGCTCCACTCGTGATGGAGTCATGTCAAAAGATGTGAGACAGAGGCATCAATCGGTTGCCTCCCATGAGGGACTGGGAATCGCAGGCACCGGGCCCAGGGATCAAACCCGCCACCTAGGCCTGTGCCCTGACCTGGCATTGAACCTGCAACCCTTCGGTTACAGGACCACGCTGCCACCACTTAGCCACGGGGCCAGGGCAGACCCCCACCCCCTTTGAGTCTTCGGCCCTTCCCAGGGCTGTTACTGAATAAAACAAAAAAACAGATGAAGCTGCGTCAAGCACCCCACAGGTATAAAATAACGCAGGTGTGTCCTGGGACAGGAGAGGGGTGCCCTGGGGGAAGTGAGCCGAAAGGCCCAGCAGGAACCTGAATCTCGGCGAGGGGGAGTCGAAATGAGCCTGTGGACTGTGGTAGGAGGCTCTCCCGCCCTCTCTTTCCGCTCTTGGGGCCTGCGAACCCTCTCTCACCTGTCTCACCGAGTGGCTGCAGTGGGTGATTCTCAGGGAAGGCCACCTATTTTGGATGCAGTGGCTCTTCCGAGGATGGTCCAGGTCCAGGTCAGAGGCCAGGGCCCTGACACAGGCTGGCTGAGTGTTACTTACGTTGTCCCCATTGGACACATCCAGCAGCTAAGGTCCTTTCCCTCCAAAACCACACCACCTCCCGACTCCAAACGACCTGCTCTTGGAAGCGCTTCGCAAAAAACTGATCAAAGGCACAATACGGCACAAAAATACCCTCAAAGACATGACCCATAGCGAGGCCAGTGCCCGACTGCGCCGCTGCTGGAGCGCAGACCTCTCGGAAGTGCGCGCCGACACCACGGTCATCCCGCGGACAGTGGACAGTCTCACCCCGCAGGCCTTTGTGAAAGGTTCCGCGGGGTTATGGTCTGACCCAGGAGGCGCTGAAAGCTGGCCGCCCCCCTCCCTAACCCCACCCAAAGCTAACCAGACCTCCCTCTTGCAGATTGAGCGCCACGGCTGTCCAGCGACTTCTAGGCGCCCCCCGCCCCCCCCGGTGTGGCGAGACAGCGCCCTGAACCCCGCTGGAGGATGCTGCTCACAGGGTCCAGCCCAGAGGCGAGGTCGCTCTGCCCCACACAACTGTCCCCGAGCCCACCTGGAGCCCCTCAGCTTGTGGGCCCACGACCCCCGTCAGCCAGTCCCCGGCACGCACTGCGTCCTCCTTCCCCAGGGGTCTCGCAGGGGCTTCGGCGGCGCCCGAGAAACTGGGCGAGGCTGAGGGCAGGGCCACTCGGAAACCCCTGGCCTCGGGGGAGGGGCGCGCCCCCAGGATACACCACAAAGAGCTCCAGCTCCGAAAACCAGGCGGGGTGCGGCTGAGGGTACTAGCGAGGGGGCGCCGAGGCGCGGGGCAGGGGCGCGGAGACCCCGGCGCAGGCCCCGCCCCCACCCTGCACCCCCCAGCTCGGCCGCGCTCCGTCCCCACCGAGCCCCCCGCCCCGCGCCCCTGCTGCTCACCCAGGGGCCGCCGCGCGGCAGCGCAGGGCCCGACCGGCCACCGCCCGCCTGGCCGCCGCCGCTTCCTTCCCCGGGCCGCGCGGGGACCGGAGGTTTCGGGTTTCAGCCCGGAGCCCGCTCGCTCCTCCCGCCCGGCCGCCAGCACGCGGACCGCCGGGCGCAGGCCGGGAACTTCGCGCCGCCCGCGCCCCGCCCGCGCCCCGCCCGGCGCTGCCCCCCTCGGTCCTCGCGCCCCTTCCTGCGCGGCGCACTCCCCCGCCCCGCCACCCCTTTTCCATTTCTTCCCACCATCGGCCTCGGCAGTGGCTGGCTCTTTGTCTCGCCCTGACCCTCCCGGATCGTTCCACTCGGCGCCCGCAAACCCCGGCGGTCCCTGCCCGGGCCTTCCAGGTCCCGTCCCTCCATCCCACTTCCAGCCGCTGGGACGTCCCCTCTCCATTTCTCTCTGCATCACACTCATACTTTCGGATTCTTCCCGGAGGCCGCGCCCAGACGCATCTCCTCCTCCGGTCTCGCCGGGACTCCTGGCGTCGTCGTCTCTGCTCACCTTTCATTCATCCACCCAACGTGTGAGCGTCCGCGGGGGGCCAGGCGCTGCCCCGGGCCCCGGGATCACGGGGGAGCCTGCGCGGAGGCGGCCTGGGAGGACCCCACGGCCCGCGGGGGTGGCGGGATGGATATAAACAGACTTTTACCAGGCTGCCCTTCCCTCCCTTCTCAACCAAAAGGCCGGGAGCGGTCAGCGCCGGGCACACACAGACTGGAGCTGCGAGTTCGCAGGAAAGAACGGAGCCTGCTCATAAGGTGTATGACCCGTCTCCTGCGTTTTCTGTACAGCCAAGCTACCCAGGGCACGAAAAGTTGAAGTGAACAGTAAAACTAATTTAAAAAGGGAGGGAAAAAGAAGCAGGGCAGGAAAGAATCAGGTAGAAGTTAAGTTCACCCAACTCCAGCAAAAACTGACCCTTCCCTGGAGCGTGATTCAGATTCCCCTGGGGCCCATCTGCTTTGGTAAATGCATCGATTTATTCCCTCGTCTACAGATTGGCACCGTGGGAACGGCTTTCTTATTGTTATTGGGCCACGGAGGCAGCATTTAGAGCCATAATTGACTGTCTAGCACCTGCCAAACACCCAGCTTGTCTTCGGGGACACAGGATAATGGGGGGGGGGGAGCAAATGGACGATTTAATATTTCCTGTAGGACAGGTGTTTAGTTTGGTGGAAACCTGGAAGCTCAACCTCCCGAGTCTAGGTCGCCAGCAAGCCCGGTGCTGAAGGAGCCTAGAGCCGTCTGATCTCCAGAGCATTTTATACTTTTTTGTGTACTCTGAAACCCCTAGTTATTTATTCATTTTTTACAATTTGAATTTTCTCCACCACCGGCTAAGCTGTGTGACCCCGGGGGAGTTATTTCATCTTCCTAAACTCCGGCTTAGTCATGTATGGTGTAGGCAGACTTGTAGCTGCCTCTGTGTAGAGTTAAAAAGAGGCAATGAGATAAGGCGAGTCAATCACCTAGTGCTACAGACGCTGAGAGCTACGTCCCTTTGCAAGCTGGTTGTCTGGAAAGTTCTTAAAGTATGTGCCACAAAATGGCAAACTGGCAAGAATGAAAACGCACAGTATGGCTTCCCGGGCTCCATAACCCCCTAACTCAGAAACCGCCCATCCCGTACTTAACTCTAGTCCATGCTGAGCTCTTCTTCTGGACACGTTTGTTTCTCTTACCGCCCATTATCACATGTATTATTTATCACGAAGATTTTCTTCCCATCGCTCGTGAGTTCAGAACTTGCTGTGCACTCGGGATGGAAACTGCTGCCCGCAAACACATCCTTTCAACTGCTCCTAAGGTTGCGATTTATTCCCTCCAGAGCTAGTACTGACCTGCGAACAGTGTTTGGTCAAATGGAGAGAAGACAAAAGTTATTAAAGTAATGATTTCACTATACATTGCTGTACCATTGTGTGAAAAGCGAGATCGATTTGAGCAAGAATTATTTTTGTGTCAAAAAACTAGGAGAAAGATATATAATAATTCTCCTTTTCCAGATCAAGGTCCTAGGCCATTCTCCTTGGGGTTCCTCCCTGCAAAGACTTTCGAGCTAAAATAATGAGAGGCCTTGTCTGAGTGAACCCTAAATGCTGACTGAGGAATCGACACGTGAGACATCTTTGGTATGAAATATCTTTTCGGTCCAGCAGTCCGCATAAAAACAGTCAAAGCAAAATGGCGAAGTACCAGATGCCTCTTCCAGATGGAATATTGTCCTTTACTATTCACAGGCTGAATCCTTCCTGCCCTTCACCTCTGAGCTTAAATGTCACCTTGGAGAGAAGTCTTTCCTGACCAGCCTAAAAGAGACTGTGTAACCTCTGCTACCCAAGTTATGGTGTATGTCTGTGTCTCCTATTCATCTGTGTTTAATATGCCTCCAGCGATAGACATCAGCTCCCCAAGAACAGAACCCCTGTCTGTTTTATTCACCGCTATAGGACAAGGGCCTAACCCAATAAAACATTTAAAAATTTGTTTATTTACTTATTTTTAGATACAGGGGAAGGGAGAGAGACAGAGAGGGAGAAAAACATCAATGGGTGGTTGCCTCTTGCACACCCCCTACTGGGGACCTGGTTTGTAACCCAGGTGTGTTCCCTGACTGGGAATCGAACCGGCAACCCTTTGGTTCGCTGGCCCCTGCTCAATCCACTGAGCCACACCAGCCAGGGCAACTTTTTAAATAAATTAAACAAAAAATAATAATAGATAAAAGTATACCTTCGAAGGCCTCAAACTTTGGGAAATATGAGGCTCTCTTGGAATTTCTTAGACACAACAACAAAAGCACAATGGATTAAAGAGAAGTTCGAGGTGTTAGGTTTTTATTAAAATTAAAAGCTTTCCTACCTCTCAGGACACCATGAGGATAATGAAAAGACAACTCACGAAATGGGATAAAATGTTTGCAAATCATGTCGTTGATGAAGGACTGGCATCCAGAATATAAAAAGAATTTTTATGATGAAAAGATAAACAACCCGCTTTAAAAATGGACAAAGGATCTGAACAGACATTTCTCCAAAGAAGAGTGTGCACAGAACGCCCAGTAGGGCGCCACACTAAAGAGCGTGACAACAGGTATGGTGGAAGGTGTGTAGAATTTAGAACCCTCGTTGGGATTTAAATTACGTCTCCATAAAAGCTGTTTTACAATTAGGAGGATCTCTTGGCAAGTTTGCTAGAATGCTGAGGTTCAGGGCTCGTTCCTGGAGATTCTGAGGGCAGAAACTGTGTTTAGCCCCTGTTGGCTGTTCAGCGTCCCTTCCTTCTCCTGCAGGGGGCGGGCCTTCAAGTTTCCTTTGGGAAAAACGTTGCTTCCCTCTGAGGGTCAGCCATGGGGTTTACATAGCACCGGGTCTCCCCAGTTCCAGGCCTGAGCTCTGATGGTCAGCGTTTCCCACCCTTTCCAGCCACTCGGTTGGTTCAGGGATGGAGACGGCTCAGAGTGGAGGCTCAAGGACATTTTGCTGAGAATACTGGGCGAAACCAAAATTTAGAAAATAGAGAAATCAGGTGCTGGCTAATCTGTGTGATGCTGGATGATGCCTTCCCGGAAGTTGCACCCCAGGCCGGGTAGGTTACAGGAGCCAACTCATATTTGTCTGTTAAGTGTGGGTGGGCTTATTTCTGTTATTTGGGACAGAAAGACTCTGTCTGTTTCTCAATATGACATTTTGGAAATCTGAGGGTGCTCAGGAGTTGTCCTAATGATTAGAGGACACTCCTGACACCTTGTGGGTGGGGACCCCGGGTCCCAGACATTGCACAGTTCACGGGACAGTCCGAGACAAGAAACAATGCCACTCACACGTGACTTTTGGAGAACCCCAAACAGCTGAGATTCTTTTGCGTGGTTCTTCGTACGCCAGTTTGTCCAGGAATGGTGTTACCAGGTAAACTGAGGGGAAAGTGTACTTGGATTTGTCCGAACCTCACCAAGCATTGTTCATCATTTGGGAAAAAAGTCCCATCGCTGTGACCAGTGCCACTCATGGTGTCAGATTTACCAAGTGAGGGGACTCCGTCACATTCTTCCAGAAACATAATCAACTGCTCTGGAATTCCCTGGTCAGCCCCCAGGAAGGCAACTTGTCACATGGGCTCTCTCCATCCCCCATGGAAAAAAGAGGTGACCTGAACAATAAAATCTCTGCCTGTCCTCTTCTCCCAAAGATGCCCTGGCCCCCAAACAGTCCTTTGTTTTCTTTGTTAACAGCTCTCTTGACCACGCTTTTTGCCGTGAAAATCTTCTGTTGTGGACACCCCTTCAAAGCACCTTCTGGTAGCTCCTTGGCTTACAAATCGCTTCTTAAAGCCAATTAATTAGATCTTCAAACTTTTCAAAAGTTTTAGACATAAAACTTTTCAAATGCCTAGAACTTAGCAAGCTGTAGTTAAAGTTAGCTATTATCATCAATTTTTATTATTATTACTGTTATTAGGATCTGTCTCAAACTGGAATGCACTGAATGCGACTATAAGCAATTATGGTCATTTCACCATTATTATGACTCTTCTGAGAAAATAGCATATCCCAAAGCAATAGGATTTGTGCCCAGGTGGTGATTTAAGAGTTTGTATAAAAGGCAAATCCCAAATATGTCAGAGATCTAAATGAAGATTAATTCCTTTATAGCCTGGAAGCCGGGAACTCTGTTAACTAGACACCATGCCCAAAAGTATTGATGATAGAAAGTTAATTTGATTACACAATTAAACATAATTTCATGAAAATCACCCTAAGCAAAGTCCAAAAAATTAATAGACTGAGAAAAATATTTGCAACATGGTACAAAGAAATACGTGACAATTTGGATCCTGGCAGGAATCCAATTCACACCCAAAGGGTCCCAATAGAGAGAGGAACCCAGCTATGGGCAGGGGTAAGGGAACAAACCAGGGCTGTGACTCGCAGAGACAAGTGGCATCAGAGTGTCCGTAGCTTCCCCAGGGCTGAGGAGACGGGAGGACATAATGTTACCACGCTGGGCACTGGGCGTTGACCAGGAATCAAATTCCCTGAGAGTTTTATTAGGGAGACGCTGGGACGGTGTAGTTCTCTTAAACGTGGGAACCACTGTTTTCTATTGGGGGCATCTTTTCTTCATTTCTTATTATTTCCCCTCGGTTTGCTTGGGGATCGTCTTTTGAAAATACCCATGAGAATTAACGGTATTTCTGTTAACGTTGGGTAAGGGAAAAAACTTGTTCTCTCCTCTTAGGCCTGGAGGGCAGAGGGCCCCTAGTGGCCAATATTGGAACTGCATCAGTGCCTGCGCACGACCCGGTGGGCCTGGAAGGCGGACCTGGTGCATTAGAGGCCGGAGAAGGAAGGGACTGTGGGCTGGGGAGAGAAGGAGGAAAAATGGATGGAGAGAGAGAAAGAGGGAGACTAAAAGAGAGAGGGAAAGGAAATTGGGAGGGAGGGAGGCAAGCATAGGAAAGACAAGAATGCAGAAATGCCAACACAGGGTTATAAAACATACAGTGTTTTCAACAGTCACTTTTCACAAATACTCATAATTTTATCCGCTACAATGCAATATTTTCTCTACCCAGAAAGATTGGAACATTCTAGTGTTTTTGATGGATATAAAGGGTAGACTTTTTATGGGAAAATAATATTGGTGGAAGAACTGTTGCAATCACTGTTTGAATGTGGCCATATGTTATACATAAGCTATAGACTTAATTGAATTTAAACTGTTCCATCACAGATGGCAATGTTCTACCACGTAACTGTGCTAGTGACAAAATTGTGTTAAATGATAACTATTACCAGTGGGGTGGATGGGTAAAGAGACATGAACTTCAGGTTGAATTATTAGTACTTTCTTTCTGCAGTCTGGTTAGGATGTCTCTGTTATTCATAATGTTATTTGGGGATAATGTGGAAAGTTTAAATCTGAGGCCATTGGCAGAAGGGAGTTCCATCAAACGTCTCTCCTGATCTCTGCCCCTTAGTCCTCCCTTGAGGTAAGTCCTGAAGGAAGGTGGGCCTGGGGCTCTAAAATCTTACTTTCTATTAAATTACACAGAGTCCCAGTCAGGGCACATGCCTGGGTTGCCGGCCAGTTCCCGGCAGGGGACTCACAGGAGGCAACCACACATTGATGTTTCTCTCCTTCCCTTCCTTTCTAAAGATAAATAAATAAAATCTTTTTTTAAAAAAGCTTTAAAAAATTACACAGAGAACTTTGGAAAATTCAGATTCTTGGGTGCTTCACAACACCTACTTATTGAATGTTCCTGGAAGCGAGTTGTCCTCACACTGGTGTTTGGGACCAGGGCCCTGAACTCTCACCCACTGCTGGTAAAAAGCATACAGAGGGTGCTGCAAAGTAAGTTAATAGCTGTGAGTATGAGGAACGGGGTTTATTCTTGTTATTATTTATTCACTATTGTATTATTTTCCATACAAACAACTGTAAACCTCATTTTGCTCCACTTATGCTTATATAGCCACATGAAAAACAACCTGACAATATCTATTAAGTTAAGATAAATCTATGCCCTTTAACCCCAGGAATCCTACTTCCGGGAATCCATCCCATGGAAATAAAAGCACCAATATAAAATACACATGTACAAGAAAGTTTATTGAAACACTATCATTTGTTATGGCAAAAAGTATAAACAAAATAAACACCCATCCACAAGGGAAAGGTAGAATAAACTAGAATAGCCATACTATGGATAATATTATTAAATAAAAAAGAGATAAAGTGATATCAATTGACCAGGAAGTATTTTTCACCATGTATATTGTTAAGAAAATACACTAGTGGGAATAAAATTTTGGGAAGTATATAAAACCATATATTGTAAAAAGTATATTTGTCCAGGAGCTTAAGTCAGCTCAATAGTTCTCTGAAAGTCTCTGGGCATTTACAATGGCTTTTATTTCTCCTTTACTAATGGATTGCTTTTAATTCCAAGTTATGCCACCAGTTCAGGGTAGGCAATGCTTCTTTTTTAAAAATAAACTTGGGAAAAAAGCTTGGATGCAATCAACTCTGCTTCTCTCTCATCTCCTCAAATCCTATGGGTCTTCTACACCCTCTCTCCCTGCAGCATTACGCTGCTGAAATATTTATATTCTCATCTCTGGCATGCCTCTCCCCTCCTGTGAAATCCCCCAGAGTCCAAATTCTCTTGTTCTCTCTCTTCCCTCCCCTTCACAGAACCCACCTCCCTTCTTCTATATTTAATGCGCACACTCGGGGCATCAAGGGTTGTGGGTAGGGCAACTCAAGGAGATGTTGCAAATAGCTCCTTGTTGCCACTGAGCTCTTTGGTTAGATGGAACAGAGACTCTCGAAAGTTTTTTCTTTTTATTTATTTAGTGATTGCTTTATTGATTTTAGGGAGAGAGGAAGGGGGGAGCGAGAGAAACATCGATTTGTTGTTCCACTTATTGACGCATTCATGGGTTAATTCTTGTACGTGCTCTGACTAGGGATAGAACCCACAACTTTAGCATATGGGGCGACACTCTAACCAACCGAGCTACCTGCGCCTGCTCCTCCACAACCAGCCCCAGGTTTTTCAAGCTGGTGGTGGGGTTGGTGGAGGGGGAACTTGCTCTAACCTCACGCATGAGGTAAAGGAAAGAGCACTCCCAGCGCAGGAATTGTTTCTCCGTGACTGAGCCTTCGGAGTAATGGACCCCTCTTTCCTTCCTTTATGCCTGATGCTTTGACACCATCCCCCGCCTGCCGCAGTAATTTTCTGTGGCTGCGGTTCTGCCTTCCTCTCTTACTGCTGTACAACCGGAGCCCTGTTCTTCTCAGATAGGTGGCTGGATCTTCGGCCCGGATAGCTCATTCCCTCCCTTCAGGCTGTGTTTCCACAGCTGAACAGGAGTGTCTCTGCTTGCCTGCTGGGGAGTTCTCCCGCGGGCTCCGCTGTCTCTCTGGGCTTCCTCCCACCAACCACCTCTGAGACCCAGCCCAACCCTGCCTTGCTCCCCGCCCCTTTTTTAATCTTGTTTATTGGAGAGAGAGAGAGACAGAGAGAGAGAGAGAGATCAGTTTGTTCCACTTATTGATGCAGTCATTGGTTGATTATTTTATGCGTCCTGACCAGGGATCCATCCCACAATCTTGGTGTATTCTGAGGACGCTTGGCGTATCCCGGGGGCGCTTGGTGTATCCTGCTGGGCTAGCTGGTCAGGTAGCGTCTGGCCCTTCATACCGTAGACAGAGCACTAGATCACCTGTCCTGTAAAATCGCCCAGGTGACGTCACCCAGTAAGTTCAGGGAAGCTGTGCGGCCTTGACCACGCCCCTTGCTGCAGAGCCCCGCCCCATATTTGTTTCTCCTTGCCCCTTTTTCCGGTGCGTCATGACGTCAGACACGGGTCACGCTACATTGGCAACTGGTCCCGGAAGCAAAAGGCGAAGGGGCGGAGAAGGAGGCGGGAAGGAGGGCGGGCGTCCGGGTGGGCGGCAGGGGCGGGGCGGGGCATGGTAACGGCTCCGCTGCCGACCCGGCTGGGCCGCAGCGAGGCGGGGGAACCGGTGTCCGCTACCGCCGCCTCTCCAGCCCGTCCCGCGCTGCCCACGCGGGCCCCGCCTCGGCCATGATGATCCACGGCTTCCAGAGCAGCCACCGGGACTTCTCCTTCGGGCCCTGGAAGCTGACGGCCGTCAAGACCCACATCATGAAGTCGGCGGACGTGGAGAAGTGAGGCTCCGGGCCGGGTTGGGGCGCGGGCCGGGAGCTGGGCCGCGGCTGGGGGCAGGGCGGCTCCGCGCTGCCCCCACCCTCCGGGGGCGGAGGCGGGACCCTGAGGCCGGGCCCTTGAATGACAGCCTCGGTAAATACTCGTGTCGTCCTTCCAGTCCTAAGGTTGGGGCTCGCTGGGCGCCGCCTGCGTGAAGCTGTCACTCAGCCGGGGTTTGAGTGGCGCATGGCTGTTGGGGAGGACTCTCCACCTGCCCCTACCTGCCCCAGCCCGCGCCACCTTTGCACCATGGGTAGCTCTGGGTAGCTGTGACCGGTTTTCCTGGCGTTAGTAACGGGGAAGAAAAGTACGCTTCGTTTCTAGAGCGTCAGGTGTGCCCGGCACTTGAGATGGAGCAGGGGAAAGACAGCCTCTGCTTCAAGGCGTTCACAGCCAAATGAGACGATTGTAATGCGGTGTGAATAACTGATTCGGAGAGATGTCTGCGCCGGGTTACGTGAGGTCGCTGAGGGGGACAGGGCGTCCAGAAGGCTGGGATGCCTCAACTGAATGCTGATCGAGTTGGTGGCATGGGGTGGGGGTGGGGTGCCAGAGAGAGCGACAGCCTTATGCCTTTGTGACGCTTGAACTAACTGAATCATTAAAAATCTTTTCACTAAATTGAATTTATTGGGGTTACAATAGCCAATAAAAAACTATATAGAATTAAGGGGTACAGTTCTATAATACATCATCTGTATATTGTGTCTTGGCCTAGCGGTGGGGGGAGGGTAGTGGAGGGGTCAGGGAGAGGGCGGGCACTGATTGGTCGGAAGGACCGCGTCCGCGGGGTGGCTGGGGAGCCAGAGTGGCAGGACTGAGAAGTGCGAGGTGGCGGGATGGAGTGGGGAAATTAGAGGGAGTTTTTATGCCCCAGGCCAAGGAGTTTTGCGTTTCATCTGACTACTACATCCGATGTGATTCTATACGAAGCAGTGACATTATCAGATGTACACTCTGAAACAGCGATTTGTACCGCAGGAATTTTTAAAGTCTTCAATACCTGATTAAAATTTAAGCAGGGACACTGACCCCTTTTTGTTACATTGTCAGAAAACTGACAGCAGCCAACACAATAGACATCCGATGTGAATGAATCAAAGTTATGCCCATTTTTGCCAGATTGGCGTGAACATATTTTTGGTGAGCTGCAGAATTTTAGTCGGTAGTTTCTGAGTGCTGTGAGATGACAAAGGTTGAAAATCGCTGCTCGGAAAGATTTCTCTGGGGGCGACGCGGAGGACGGATTGGAGACCAATTAGAGGGGAGGGGACAGGAGAGCTTTCAGAAGGTTACGCCCCTGCATTTGATGGCCAGTCGACAGGAGGAGGAAGGGAAAAGGAATCTGTAGGATGTGGCAAGATTCCTGACTGGAGCCGTTGGGTGGCAGTCATTGAACAGGGCAAGGGACACCGGAGCAGGGTGGGCGTCAGGTGGAGGGTGAGTTTAGTCAGTCGAGATATGAGTCGTGTGAGGACCCTGAAGCAGGCGTCCGGATGTCCAGGGTCCAGCAGAAGTAAGGCCTGCGTGAGTGTGGTGGGTAGGGCAATAATGTGGGCGTGATAATTTACCGTTTAAAGTTCAACATCTCACCCAAAATGTCATATGGTGTGTGTGAGTGTGATACTGTCATGTTAGAGAACTACACGCTCGTGGTTTTGTCATAAACCAGGGGCGTTACTTGTGCCGGACCCTGTATTTACCTTGGAGCTTAAGAAGGACTTGTCCGAGGGTTCCAGTTTGGGGATTATCGCCTTAGTTTCGGTGCCTGGGCCCCTAGGGGGCCAGTGAGAGTCACCTAAGTGTCTTCTAAAAGAGAAGGAAGGGGTCAGGCCCAGAGAGGTGAGCAGGGAAGAGAGGAGAGTCATGGAAGGGTGTTTAGCTGCCTAGTTAGAAATAAGTGAATGAAAAAAGGGACACTCTGCAGCTTCACTAGGAGAAAATTCCCTTCACCCACCGCAGACAGAGTTGCTGTGTGGGTTCCCCCTCCACCTGACTGCCTCTGTTACACAGTGGCACCGCATACAGGGTTGAGCCCAGCTGTGTTTACCGGCAGTTCCCTTACAGACTCTGAGAGGGGCTGCATGGTGAGTTGTACGGGAAATCATGTTCCAGGTCCTACTGTCTTTGTTCTGTCTTAAGTAGACCTGGCAGAGTGTATTAGTCCGTCTTCCTATGACCAAAGAGAGGCTTGCCCTCACCCACCTGAAGTTTCTGTGACACCTTGCCCAGGGTGTACAAGCCAGAAGGGTGCTCAGTAAATGGATCAGGGGAGCTGCCGGATTAAGGAGGGGCCTTGGGTGAATTAAGGCATCTTAATCCCGCAGAGGCTTCCTGGCTTTCTGCATCCTTCATGGTAATACCTGCTGAAGCTTGGCATTAGGAACAGTGTTAAGATGCTCTGTGTTTGGCTGGTGTTTAAGGCAGTCTGAATTGGGAACGTCTGAAACAGTGTACGTTAGTGACAGTGCTTCTTTGACATGTCACCAGGCCACTTCCCAGGGCTGCCGGGGGTGTGCGCACTCAGTCGAACTGGATGTGCTGCCTTACAAGATTTTTCGGTGTGAGGATCTCAGATAACCAAGAAAAAGTTAAATAATATTTTATGTTTTCTGTTTAAGAACACAGAAAAATCTGTAATACATTTTGAAACATTTTCAAAAATCAATAAAATACATTTGGTCTGTAAGGTAACTAGAAAATTCACTTCCACAGAACCTCTGCTTTCAGGTTACAAGGACCAGAGACCCAGGTCGCTGTCAGGAATGGAGGTCTAATAGTTCAGGAGGAAATGACTGAGCACTGGGGACTATCTCAGCAGACGGGCAGCGGTCCCACTCACGGCCGCATACCAGTCTTTGCTATTGTTCCCGTCATTTCTCTGTCTCTGCTTTGCCCCTGCCGATACCTGGCACCCTCACTCTCCCGCCTCTCCTCCTCAGGGCTCCCCTCCGGCTGCCGCTTTGGGCCTGGGCCTCACTTGGCTGTCGTTCTTATTTTGGGAAGGAGAAGCTCAGAGGTGCCCACTGGGCCCTCTTCAATTCAGTGTGAGTGTATTGGGCAGAGCTCTCAGGCTGGAATGTAGGGGTTCATGCCAGCCCATAGATAATTAATTGCCTTTGGTTGAGAAGCGGAACTTGCATCCCAAAATTGAAAGTCCTGGTTTTGACTGAGGTGATAGGTCATGGGCATGGTCATTTATACATACAGCTACTTATTTCAGAAGCAAGTGACTATCGCACCGAAACACTTTCGAACAGGGATTACAAACTCAGCTTTCTAAAGGGCCCAGTGACAGGGGCCGCCCCTACTCAGCTCAGCCTGTGGGTGCTGTGCACATGGCCAGGTCTTCCACTATTGTCCACAGCGGAGGGACCAGAAGGCCAGATTTTTCAACAGCCTCTCGTTTTGTCGGCAACTGTCTCTCAGGAATTGTTGGCATCTGTTTCAAATGTTGTTCAGGCTAATCAGAACACACCTGTGGACCAGTAATTTGTGATCCTGCTTCACAGACAGGATGTCGACCACAACTCTTCTCCTCCGAGGCCGCCGGGGGGCCAGGTGTTTGTTCAGCTGGTAGATGGAAGAGACCTGGTGGTACCACTCATGGCTCTGTATCCGTCAGTTACCTGAGCTCTCTGAGCACATCCTGGCTCCCAGAGTAGTTTTGAGGCTAAAATTCCACTCTCTCGGAAGCAATTTCTGATTGTCCTACCTAAAATAGGACCCCCCCATTACCTCGCTTTATTTTTTGTATAACATCACTAGCTGATAATGTGGCACGGGTATATTTCTTTTTGTTTATTACCTGTCTTTTTAGCCCACCCTCTTGTCCAGTGTCATAACAATATGCATAGAGAGAATGGACGATGGAAACATTTATAGACTTTTGAACACATCACGTTAATTAACTAACTTATTCAGTAATGTAGGGATGAACTGAGAGCAAAGTGCCAACAGTGATACCAACAATTCTACCGACTTCCGGTTGTAGGTTAGCCGATGAGTTGCACATGCCATCCCTTCCTGAAATGATGTTTGGAGACAACGTTTTAAGAATCCAGCACTGTTCTGGCTTTGGGATCGAGTTCAATGCCACAGACGCTTTGAGATGCGTGAACAACTACCAAGGGATGCTGAAAGTGGCCTGTGCGGAGGAGTGGCAGGAGAGCAGGTGAGAGCGCGGGCGGCGGCGGGAGGCTGAGAGAGGAGGTGGGAAGAAACGGTCGGGCCTGATGTGTGGGTTTTATTAGAACGAAGGGCGAGTATCGTTCCTAAACGTGGTAGTTGGGTTATTCTAAAATTACTTTTGCCCATCTATAGAGTGGAGACCAGTCACCCTTTCGTTTGAGTTCAGTTGAGTCGCACTGGAGCTCCGAGGGCTCACTTTTACGAGCTTCCACTGTATTTTAATCTCCCTGTTTTCGAAGAACAATGTTCTGATTTGGACTGAAAAATTGAGGGCGTTTGAAATTAAGAAAAGGGTGTTTTCCGTGGTAGCCAAGCCAGCAGTTCCTCACTTCGAGCCTGCTGCGCACTCAGTACCTGGAGGGGGCTGCGTGGCCGCGGTGCACATGCGCAGACCGACTCGGGAGCCTGCGTCTGCGCACGACGAGCTAGACACAGCAAACGTGCAGGACGGAGGGCCGGTGCTGTGCCAGTGAGCTGTGACAGGCACGTGTGCGTAGTGGGATATCTTACCTACCTGTCGAATGTCGTTCGGTGTGATGGGCGAGTACAGATGGTCTGTATTCTGCACCGCTCAGTCTGACCCCTCCTGTTTTGGTGTTTGAGGACGGAGGGGGAGCACTCCAAGGAGGTGGTGAAGCCGTACGACTGGACCTACACAACAGACTATAAGGGAACGTTACTCGGAGAATCACTCAAGTTAAAGGTAAAGCTTGTTTTTTGCTTTTATGAACCATCCATCAATTGTGTTGGACAGTTTTGGCATTAGAACTTTCTAGTAATGGCTTATTTTTTGCTACTACTTCCATCTACTTATTTCTGTTGTGGGAGGCTTCAGAACCTAATGGGAGGGGATTTTGCCTATTGATTATCAGCAGGAAATAAAAGAAGACCATATTAAATGGAGCAGTTTTTATTAAGAGTGTGGTTGGGGGCAGTGAGCTGCCTTAATGTTACCACTGTGAAGAAGCATGAGGATATGTGTGTCCCTTGGGGATGCTGGGTGATTTGGATGGAACCTGCTAGCTAGTGGCTCCCAGTGTTACAGCTGAACAGAAAGAAGGTGGGTGAATAGGACCTTGTCCTGCTGGTCCTACGTGTGAACCTCATAGGTCACTTGTCCTGCCGGGCCCGTGTGTGCACCTCATAGGTCTCAGCCTCATCCGTCACTTGGGTGAACAGAAACCGCTGTCTCCTCTCAGGGCTTTGACGGCAGAGCAGCTGTGGGGAAGCTTGGAGGCTTGCACGCCCCGTGTGCCTGGGGCGGCATCTGTCCTGCCTTGCCCTGTGGAAGGAGGGTTGCTTGGCTGTAGGAGGGTGGAGTCGGTAGGTCTTATATTGGGGGCTTGGTTGTGTTTTGAGAAATAATAGCATGACTGAGTGAGGGAAACTTGGCTTAGATTGCAGCCTCTCGACGTCACATCCTATTGCAGAGAATATCACTGTCATTTCTACAGTAGAAGTCGTTACTGGAGACCCCATGTCACATGTTGGCGCTCGGGCAAAATGTTAGGGAGGGTGGCCTGTGGATGGGCCCCTTGTCTCTGCCCGGATTCTTAGGGTCTGGGGAAGCTGGGGGTCCCAGTGGGGCTTAGTTCTTGCCTTCAGTCGCCGCCACTCCTGTACTGCAGGCTTTAACTCCTTTTCTGTGGTGCTTCCAAGACACAGAACAGTTTTAAGAGGACAGTCATGTGTTCGTTCTTGAGCTCTGACTGTGTGCCAGCTCCTCCTAGGAGCCCACGTCCTTCCTGCAGGGTCTGGTGGGGAGGAAGGCCCCCCAGACCCTGTGGTGCGACACCGGTTGGTGTCCTCTCCCTGCTCCTGATCGAAACCTCTGTGAAGTGCAGAGGCTATTTGACGCATCATTGCCAGGGTGAGGGCGTGGGGAATTGTTCGTTTGTTCTGTAAAGGTCTTATTTATGTATTTTCAGACAGAGGAGAAGGGAGGGAGGAAGAGAAATATTGATATGAGAGAGAAACATCAGTCGGTTTCCTCTGGTACATGACCCAACCTGGGACTGAACCTGCAGCCCAGGCATGTGTCCTGACCGGAAATTGAACCAGTGACCTTTTAGGTTTGCAGGACGAGACGCCAGCCCACTGAGGCACCGCAGCCCGTCAGGGGTCTGTTTACCGTGGTTTTGTGCTGATGGTGCCAACTTACGGAAACCCTCCTGGGGGCCATGGAGGGGCCTCGGGTCCCCTCGTGTCTGGCTCCTGGAGACACTTCCCGTGCCCTTTCTCCCATGTTTCCTTCAGGTCGTGCCCACGACAGATCACATAGATACAGAGAAACTGAAAGCCAGAGAACAGATTAAGTTTTTTGAAGAAGTTCTCCTGTTTGAGGATGAGCTTCATGATCATGGAGTTTCAAGTCTAAGTGTGAAAATTGTGAGTATTGTGATTTTTGTTTAAAATATCTTTCTGTCTTCTCTCCTACCATTGGTCAGAAATGTGAGGCTCACTCCAATCACACTGTCTGTACATGACGTCACATGAAGTTTCGCTGGGGTCTCAAGTACATACATCTCACTGATCGTCATTATAAAATTCAGAGTCTTAGTCCATTGTGAAGAATTTAGCAAAGCATTTTTTAAGGACATGAGCACTGTGTACTTTCTTTCTTTCTTTTAAAGATTTTATTTATTTATTTTTAGAGAGAGGACAAGGGAGGAAGAAAGGGAGAGAAACATCAGTGTGTGGCCGCCTCTTACACACTCCCCACCAGGGACCCTTCCCACAACCCAGGCATGCGCCCTGACTGGGAATCAAACTGGCGACCCCTTGTCTTGAAGGCAGGCGTTCAATCCACTGAGCCACACCAGCAGGGCACTGTGTATTTTCTTTGCTTATTATTTAATTTGAATGAAAACTGTGGCTTCGTTTTCACATTTTGAATTAAAAATGATGTGGCAACCAGGCTGTGGAGACAGCTAGGGGGACGTCACTCAGGAAGGGACTGTGTGTCAGCTGTCTGTGCCCCGTGGAACTGCACTCCAGTGCCCAGCACGGAAGTGGGAACCGAACGGCAAGTGCCAGTCCTTCTGGAGGACGGGCTGCTCCGTGAGCAGTGCTGTTGCTGGAGCGGCGGCTCGGAAGCGGTCACCAGGCCACCAGTAGTCATTCATGCTCGTTTACTGTTAGGTCGTAGGGGGCTTCTCAACCATTTCCAGAAACATTTCAGCTGCACCTTTTTACTGAATGCCTTACCCTTTAAGGCCCAGCTGCGGTGCCCTCCTCCGTGAGGACAGCCGAGTTAAACACCCCTGGTCGTACTCAGAAGCACTTCCGTTTTTCCCTCTGCAACCATCCCAGCCCGTCAGAAGCCGCCAGGGCCACTCAGACGCCGGGCTCAGAGCTCAGCGACCCTGCACACAAGGTGTGTGCAGTAGTGAGGGACGGAAGCAGCAGTGAATTTGGTTTAAAGTCATGTTTCTCTGTAGAGTCTCAGGACTCAGGAATGGTAATAAGTTTTTAGGGAATCGGTTAGCCTAGCCTCCGTATTTACAGACGAGGCCCCGAAAGACTGGCTCGTCCAAGTTGGTGTAATGGACTAGCACAGGTTCTTTCTGAACCAGTGTATCCACCGAGCCAGCATCTCTCGCCGTTCACCTGTACCGCCCGTTTACCTTTTGTTGCTTAGGGTGTCCACTCCGACTCACTCAGTCCTGTCCCTCTCCCTTGTCTGCCCACCCAGAGCTGATGGGGGACGTTTGTGATGAGTGTGCGTGCATGGGTGTGCACCTGCACCCCACGGGTGGGCGTGGGGGGCACAGGCGATTGTGTGGGTGAAGGTGTTGGGGAAGGTGTGGGCATCCAGGTAGTAAGTGTCTACCAGATAAATAGTCTCAGACTGAAGAGTAAAGTCATTGTCATCGTGAGTGTTTTTTCCTTGTCACCTAGTATGACTTCACGTTAGGTGATGGGGTTGCATTTTAAGAATGCCTGGAAGGATTTCACTGAAATAGTGTTTTTTCTGGATGGGTTTCTTCCTAACCACGTAGCAGACACTGCGCTAAGTAAAATAATGGCCATAGTTCCTGGCTTAGTGGTGATGAGTGTGCACAAATGAAGTTCCCTTGGTGGGAAGCAGAGGCCGGCCTGAGAAGTCGGGATGGAGGCGAGAGCTGGGAGGAGGGTGCCCGGGAGGCCTAGGGAGCAGAAGCCTCCTCCCGGAGGGAGGGGCAGTGCCTGCGCAGAGCGCGCTTCGGGCCGGGTGGGCTCCGCACACCCCTGCTGCTGCCCACGAAGGAAGGGCCGTGGGTGGCCCAGTGACTTGCTCTAAGTTCCCACTTCTCCACCTCATCACACCCATCACTCCGTCTTGTTTTTAACGGGCACTGTAAGGGCCCCTCCTCCCTTTTATCACCCTGAAATAAAGTGCATGGAGAACGCACCGCTTCCCGGTAAATCAGCAGGTGCCCTGACTGTAAAAGGCAGTTGACTTGGGACGAACTGAGAGGTGGCTGTTCGGTGTGAGCGCCCTGCGACGCACCGGCAGACCTGACGAGGGAGCCAGGTGCCGCGTTTGAGTGCCGAGTCGCTGTGCGAATGACAGGTACAGATGGAGGTTGACAGACGCCAGCTACCAGGCAGTGACTCAGATAACAGTCTGGCGTGGCCTCTGGTGATCAGTGTTTCAAAGTGGTGAAATCAGTGAAATGCCAGGTAACACAAAGTATACTTTCTCCTCGATTTACGAGGTCATTGAGTTATGTATTTATATGTAAAGTGGAATTAGTTCTACGGTCAGGTAACTACAAATGGTGTGTTCCCTGCGGGGATGCCAGGCGAGACCTTTGGAAGTTCTGGGGACGCGGGCTGGGACTCTGCCACGTGGGTCGTCCTGTGCGTCACAGGACAGCGAGCGTCTCTGGCTCTGAGCGTGGCTGCCCGTCCCTGCTGCTCACCATACTCGGACCCCTTCCCCAGTTACACGTGGGGAACAGAGGTGCGTGGATGTGCCACAGACAGAAGCGGTCGGGAGCGTGTTCTAATGGCCTGACGAAGCAGGTTTTGGCGGCGTGAAACCACGCCCCATCGGCTGCACTGACCCGGAGCCTTCCGCCCAGGGCCTCTCGTCTTCGTTTTGGGTGAAGCGAGGAACAGTATAGGCAGCGGTGAAGAGCTGGGTGGTTCTTTCATTTGGGCATCGCGGTGGTGACACTCCTATAAGTACTGCCTTTTTCAAACTGAACATTATAGTTTTCTCATTACTTAGGTATATGTTAAGAAGTCTTTTTAACAGCAGTACCTTTTGACTTAGAAGAAATATGTTTCTATTTTAGGAAACTGGAACCAGGGATGTTGCATAATGTAACCAAGGTTTTGAGCCTTAGTTGGTCCTGAAACAAAGACCCTTTGGTTCAAAGATTTCTGTCTAGTGCTTATTCAGGCCTCCTTCAATGCTTTAAAGATTTCATTTAGCACAGTGACAATATTTTGTTTTTATTAAAATATCAATGTCCTTTTTTTGTCTTTCAGAGAGTAATGCCCTCCAGCTTTTTCCTGCTGTTGCGGTTTTTTTTGAGAATCGATGGAGTGCTCATCAGAATGAACGACACGAGGCTGTACCACGAGGTATGCGTTCCTGTGTGGTGAATGTGCTCATTGATACTCGGGTCTCTTTGTGTGGTTTCATCTCGCTCAAGTTAAATCTTGCTGTGTATTGTGTGGCCTGTGTCATGTGCTCTGTGGACCGCAGTTCCTGAAACAGCACATCTGCTTTTCCAAAGGTTCTCGTGGCTGAGAATTTGTTCCGTAAGACACTCCCTACTGTGGGAAGGGGGGTTATGATGCTTTAAGAAAATCTCGTATGTACTTAATCTGTGCTCAAGAAAACCATCCCTGGCAGAGTCTCCTCGCAGCACCACCGCATCCTCCTGGCCCCTCCTCCCCGGGGGCGTGACCCCTGCCTTTCCCTCCACTGAGCTGCCTCAGCCCTTCTTCCACCAGGAGTTGTTTCCTGAGCCTGCGAGGCCCAGCTGGCTGTACTTTAAATACTGTGTTATTATTTTGTTGGTTTTTTTTTTTTTACAATGAGCACTAATCTGTCTTTATTGATAAAAAGATGAAAACCTTAAGGAGTTTTAATCTTGTGGTTTTCTTGTATTAGAAAGTACCCCCCTCCCCCCCAACTATTGTCAGTTGCTGTTTTAAAACCTAACTTAAACAAAAATTAAATGGGAAAAATTGAAGTACAAAAAAAGTGATTTTACATAAGCAATTTGGCAGGCCTTTTGTGGAAGTGGGAGAGAATGACATTTTTAATTCTCTTTAGAACACAGAGGTAGCCACTGTTCCGTAGGTAGGTGATGATGTTGACAGCTTATGGAAAGGCCGCGGTTCTGAACTTGAACAAACCTTTGCTTGTGTCCTGCTGACATGGAAGTTATGAGATCTGTCTGCACAGTCATATCTGACGTTACTGTGACCTGCGGGGGTGGGAATGAACAGTTCGGGGTTCTTGGTGAGAGGCAACTAGCTGTTCTCTCGCTGGAGAATGAGGTGGTCTCGCTGGAGTTCACGCCACTTTCGCACCTGCACTGCCATTCTGTGCAGCAGAAGGGACTATTAAACCAGCAGAAGTAAACTTGTTGCGCTGTTTCTATTTTTAAACAGGCCGACAAGACCTACATGTTGCGGGAATATACATCACGAGAGAGCAAAGTTGCTAATTTAACGGTACCGTATTTAAACATCAACTTTTTGGATGTTGAACTTTTGTTTCACTTTAAATGTGGCACCCCCACGCCCCCATCCATCCTCCCAAATCCATATATATGTCCCTGCGTCCATTCATCACCTAAGGGCTTGATGAGGCAAATCCTGCTTAACATGACTTTGAACTAACCTCAAATACAAGGCCAGTTAGAGTCGTAAGGTGTGATAGCCGTCATCCAATCTGAGTTCCTCATCTTATTCTGGAAAAGCGAAGACCCAGAGGAGTGAATTACCCTGAGTCACACTCCAGGTTGGTTCACACCAACTGGATGTGCTTTCCACCCGCTACCCCGACTTCTTTCTACCCAGTCCCTGCTTTTCCCCCAAAGCATGGTAAGTCCGCACTATAGCCTATTGGCTTAGGTGCAGTTTCTAGTCTTTGCTCCCCGGGGGCTTGTGTAGGGCTTCCTTGGAATTTGCTGTTCTGTAATAAGTTGTTTACAGAGCGATACCTTCCTGCAAACTTGACATTCTTTTTTCACCCTTGGTGCTGCCTGGGCACGGAGTGCACGTGGGCTGGAAGAGCTGCCACACGCGGGCCCGGGGCAAAGACTAGCGCTTTCAGGGGCTGGGAGCACCAGCGGAAGGGGGGCTGGATTGAGAGGTATTAAATTAGTGTCCATGTGATCTTCAGGGTCACTCAGCAGTAGAGTTGGTCTACGGCCACACCGCCCTGGACCCGCCCAATCTCGTCTGATCTTGGAGGCCAGGCAGGGTCCGGCCTGGTTAGTACTCGGATGGGAGTGATAGAGCTGAAGTCGCTGGTACCAGAGGCGTCTGGTAGCATCAGGAGCACGTAGTGATGCTCCTGTCTGCCCGCATCACACTTCGTTCTGAAGTCAGCACGCTTTGTGTCCAAGCACTTCTACTAGACAGGCTCAGGGCAGCACCCGCATCGGTGCTGACGGGTTTCTGTGTTTGCCAGCACGTCCCGCCGGCCTTCTTCACCGAGCCCAACGAAGTGGCGCAGTATTTACCGATCAAGGAGGCCGTCTCTGAGAAGCTGGTGTTTCCAGAAAGGATTGATCATAACCCCGAAGGCTCACAGGAAAATGCCCCCGTGGAGTAGAACGCAACGCGCCACATGCTCACTGTGGAATCTGGTGGAGACCTTGGCTGCGTGGACGGGGGTATCTTTATTAGGAGAATTAATTGCCTTGTCTATGTGCAGATTTTCAGTAGCCTGAAAGGAAAAAAATAAAAGATCATTGCAGGCAGGTTCCACCCAATTGCTGTTTGTACCGTCTGTCTTCAAATTCATATTCCAGATTTATGTCTCCTGGAATTAAACTCGGATTTCTAAGTTGTGACAACGTGGGCCGTCACTAGTGGTGATGCGTGTGTGTCTCAGGAGCAGGGGGTGTGATCTGTACCTTTCATGAAACACTGTCTCTCCCCATGAGAAGGTCAGCGTGACCCCCAGGTCACTGCCCCGCGGCTCACGGGCTTGCTGAGCGTGCAGGTGGCTGCGCTGGCCTTCCGCCCTGGGCACGGTGGCATTGCCTCGCACTGCCAGAGAGTTGTGATTTGCCTCCGAGGAAACTGACCTCGTATTTTAATAATCTTCACCCACAAATTAAAGAAAGATACATTTCCCCCTAAGTTTAAATTGGCTCTTTCAGACATAGAACCAAATAACCTAGTTTTCCACAAACATAAGCCGTGGTGCCCACGGAAGTAAACGTGGTTGGGCCCTGCTGCCCAGCCCGGCCGTGCGGCCTGGTCTCCGTCCTCGGTGCTATTTCTGCCCTGCTTCTGCTCGTCCTGCCATTTTTCACCTCCACCGCCCGTGCGGCCTCAGAGTGAGTGAGGGCACCAAGTAGAGTCAGTGTTGGCCCTGAAAAGTTCAACGAGTTCACATGGATTTTTTAGCACACAGTACAACAGGTTACATCAGCCCCTAAATAATCACATTAATTTTTGGCTTAACATAGGTGAGAGGTAGCCATGGAGGAGGTGGGGGAGCTTATTTTTAAATATAAAAGCCAGCTTTTCCTATTTTAACATTCATGTAGTTAACATTACAGGGACTCTGGTAAGATTTCATTAGTACGAGGCCTGGGTAGTACAGAAGTAAATTTAAAATCCACTTGGTTCTTTTGATGATGACCCTTTAAACATTTTATATTCTTTTCTGCCTTTCTGAATGATCTTCATGAAGTGGAAAGTGGCCGTATAGCACCAAGTAAGGAATCACTTGAAATGGATTTTTAAAACTAATATCATCCCTTTTTCTTGGTTTAAAATAACTATTGTACATATTTCCACTTGATGGATAAATTGTTAAATAAGAATATTTAAAAAGTATTAGCAGAGCTCTTCAGGTGTTACCCTGATGAAATGTTTTAGTATAATTGGTCAGTCATTTATCGCTCAGACCCTGGTGCGCTGCTCTGTGTGGTTATTGACTAACTGTATCAGCTGGATTTGGTCACAGACGGTGTTGGTTTGTCATCTGTTGCTTCACCCGTGAGGCATAGGAAATCAGGATTCCGTTGTCTTTACAAAGATACATGGCATGTTCACTGTATATTAGATATACCTCCTGTATTTAATGATTTCTCTTAGGACAGGAAAGTATACATACTGTTCTCAGCTTTCGGTTTTATTTTATTTGCCATGCAGATTTAAACAATGGATATCTTATTCATACAAATTATAGATGAAAAACTCGTGAGAATATTCATTAGTTGAAGTTTCTGAGCAACATCATATATATATATTTTTAAACTTGATTCAGATGTCTTAGTCCTTGAGTCAGCCTTAGATTGCTTATTTTGCTCCACTGTTAAAAATTGTAGGGAATTAAAAGAATTGACCTTTTTTTTTTAATAGAAGATGGGTGATACATAGGAGAATGTACTTCTGAAAATGTCATGAGTTTATACCTGCAGAAAATACCAAGAAAACCTGTTTCCCCATTGCTAAATAAGGCACATACCATTTTATATTTATTTGTCCCAAGTGTCTTTTGTAAGAGAATAAACAATAAAGAATTATTGATGTTTTGCTATTTCATTTACTTCAGTTTTTCTTAAAGCTTAATTAAAAGAATGGTTTGGAATACTTTTCTTGTTTGTGCTTTCTGTCTTGAATTTGGTCAGTGCTATAGCCCGAATCTCCAGGCAAATTATAAATGGAAATCTGACAGATGGTTCTGAATATATTCCCAGTTTAGCCTTTAAAGGGGCTCTTCTTCCTCCTCTGTCCCTCGGTGCTCTGTGGATGTTGCAACTGGTCGGTGTTTTCTGTGTTGGGTTAATGTTTTCTGTTTCTGAACATGCAAATATATATGTTTCTTCCCATTTAGCTTTGAGTATGGGCACCGTGTGTGGCGAAGGGATCACAGTAATGAAGAGATGTAGTTTATGTCTTCATGGGGTTAAAGTCCAACAGAGAAGACAAAGTAAAAATAATTACAAATTTTAGTAAGTGCAGTGGTGGAAAATCACTGGTTTAAGAGAGTAACAAAATCACCTTCAGTAGAGGTTCTGCTTCTGAAGAGCACGTAGAAAGTCTCAAGAGAGTGTCGCTCCTAATTTAACAAGGAGAAAGTCCGGGTGAGCTGTGGAATTATAGCTTGCTTAGTTTCTTTTCTTTCTTTTCAAGTGTGCCAGAGAGTTAAGGTTGGAAGACAAAGTAAACTGAACCCTAAGGAGTGATGAGCCCTTGGATAAGAGATAAGACATACCAATTGCTTCATCTCAGAAAGAACATGAGACAGGTGGCTACTGTACATGCAAGTGAGAAAAAATTCATCTAAAATTTTAATGCTTTAAAAGGCTGAGTGTGGGCCAGCACATTAGTGTGGAGGGGCTGAGAGTCTCAATAAGAGGACCCGCAACCAAGTCCTCCACACCAGGTGCTGTGAGATGCGCTGGGGCGGGACAGGGAGGCAGAGGTGTGAAACCCTGCCCTCTTCCCCCAGACCCTCCCCTTGAAGGGTGCAAAAGTCTTAGGCTGCTGAAGGGAGGAGCAACAAATCACGTCAGCCCAGGCCCAGGCAAAACCCTTGATTTCTGGGGGAGGGAAAAAGGCCAAACCCTCTGCCTGGGCAGAGGGTGTGTGTGGTCAGAAATGCTCTGCCACAGGACACAAACCCGTTATCTCGCGGGGAGTCCATGGAAATACCCCCGACTTGGGAGCAGGGGCAGAAAATCCTGGGCCTCGGGCCCTGCAGGGATAACAAAACAGGCACGCTCCCTGCTCCCTCCGGGGACCAGGCAAACAGGGATTTTTGCTGCCGCAGGGAACTGAGGCAGGAATTAACCCGAGTGTAGTAAGGGGGTAAGGGGCATTTGCTTTTCAAGTTCAGAGGTATAAACTAAAATTACGAAGCAAAGCATATTTGAATACCCATGAAGATGAAATCACACAGGGGTGTAAGTACAACCATTTGACTGAATCGAATAGAGTCCTGTGCAAACTCTTGCTGGGTTGATGTGTAATAATTTCTAACAGGCCTAAGTTCTTGGTGTGGACATCGATAAGGAATCTACTGGTAACGACTCCTGGTGATTAACCGGGCACAAGATTCATAAGCAGAACCACGGAGCCATTGCCACCATGCGCAACTCATGTAGCCAGCTTCTCAAGGAAGAAGCAGTAGAACTTCTGCCACCTGAACCCATCTTTATAAAGGAATTCCTGGAATCGTCTTTCAACCAATAGGCTGAGACCTGCACTATCCAATCGGAACCGTGGAGCTCTAGTTTCATTTCTATTTCTCCTGACCAATAAGAGCAGCTGCAACTCTATAACTAGCAAGTTGCAAATTTGGATTCCTCATTTGCATAAAAACGGACCAATCAGGGACCAGGGCGGGAACTTTATATAAGCAGGCCTCCCTTTTGTTTCTGAGGAGCACACTTTGGGTTTTCACTCCAGATCGCATCACTTGGGTTAGCAAACTTGACCTGCATAATCACTCTTTTACTCCGCCTCTGACTGGGGACTACCCTTGGCACTGGATTGGGGACAGTGAGCTTTTGTTGACATTGGTAACCTATAAGTTAAGTCCATTCAGTGTCCGTGTGTGAGGGAGGCGGAGGGGGAGGCTCGCGGACGCTCTGGGGGAAGCTGTCTTTTGCTTTTCTGAGCGATTTGATCTGCAAGTTAGCTCTGTTGACCCTACCCAGCGAGTAGCCTACCCAATGAGCCTCTGTCCTGCGGATTAGGGGTTCTCTGGCATGGCCTCATCAGCACTGGGGTCCAGTTGGGGGTTGGTGAAAGGAACCGGCCACCTAGCATTCCTTCCCCAGCCCCTCACCCAAGTCCCAGCTGGTTACCAAGGTTACCAAGGTTTCCAAGGTATCACGCTCTCGGTGCACGTTCGCCGGGAAGTAGTGCCTCTCCTGCTCACGTTTTCACCAAGCCCGGTAGCCGGCACTGCCTCCAGGTGGCCGCCCGATTCCCAACAGCGTGGTCCTAGCCCACCGCCGCCGGACCGTGCGCGACTCCGCTCCTGGGGCCCCGGCTCTGCTAGTTGGGGACGCCGAGGAAATGAAGCAGGCTCTGGGACGACGACCCCACTCTCCCAGCGACTCCAGGCATCCGCGTCCAAAACCAGCCGGACAGTAGGGCGGGGCGGGGGTGGGCGCCTGCGCTGGCCACGGCCAGGTGGGCGGAAACCTGGGCGGGGCGCGCACCCGGAAGGGCCGCGAACAGAGCAGCGCAACAGGCGGCGGCCGGCGAGGGGCTGCGGCAGCGCGCACTGGCCCGGGATGGACAAACTGAAGAAAGTGCTGAGCGGCCAGGACACCGAGGACCGGGGCGGCCTGGCCGACGTGAGTGCCCCCCGCGCGGTCGTGGCGCGGGCTCGTAGGGGCCTGGAGGGCACGGGGCTGCTGGCTCCGGGAAGGAGCAGGACTTCTAGGATTTCCTGGGAAGCAGTTCTGCTCTTCCTTTTCTACCCCCAACCATTTTCCATCCCCGACCCGGCCCCACGCGGAGCCCCGCTCCCCTCTTTCCCTCTTTGGCGGCTCTCCCCTGGGACGGCCTGGGCTCTGGGCTTCAGCTGTCGCCGTCTGTTTACTTGAGTCCTGAGCCCCATCCCCCCCACCTCTCGGGGAAGGGCGGCGCTGTAGCGAAACCTAGGAACCCGGCTAGGGGAGGACGCATGCGGGGGAGGGGCGCCCTTGCTGGCCCGGGCAGGGGGCCAGTCGTGCGCTCGGGGGCTTTGGCCGTCTTCCAGCCCGGTGGAGTTGTGGGTGTGAGACTCACACCCGGCCCTAGCTCCTCTCCGTGTTGTGTAAGGTGCCTCCGCCGCGAAACCCTGGACTCCCGAGGGCGGGGCCGCATCCGGTTTCTCCGGGTACACGCGGATTCCTCGGATTCCCGGGATGTCCCTCTGCTGTTTGATTAGGTTTTTGGTCGAGTGGAACTCTGGGCACTGATCCCCTAGGCTGTAGAGCCCTACAGAATGTTTCCTCTCTTGGGAACTTTTTGCTTTTTTTTTTTCTTTCCGCATAACAAATGAACATCTCTTTACTTTTGGCATGTATGTCGTGCGCCTCAGTTTCCCCATCTTTCAACTAAAAACCCATTTTTGCTCTCAGTTTGGTCAGCATCTCCCGTGGTTTTCTCCCACGCCCCTATCGCTCACCTTGGGGTTGCTGACGTCACTGAGTTTTGTGTGATGCGGGTACCTCCATCCATCTGAAGTCTCAGCCTGCCAGCTTCACCTGGAAGTTACACTGTAGGAATGGAGTGTGGTAGGAATTGGGATTTGCTTTGTTTTATTTATTTTATTTCATTTCATTTTTATAAAGAGCTGCTATTACATCTGACACCCAGATCTTGACTTTAAAAATTTTTTTAATTTATCTTTAGAAGGGAAGGGAAGGGGAGAAGGAGAGAAATATCAATGTATGGTTGCTTCTGGTGCATCCCCTGCTGGGAACCGGCCCCTGCTGGGAACTGGCTGGCAACCCAGGCATGTGCCCTGATGGGGAATCGAACTGCGCTCTTTTGGTTCGCAGGCCTGTGTTCAATCCACTGAGCTACACCAGCCAGGGCTATTTATTTAATTTTTATATTTTATTGTCATTTCAAAACAGCTCTTTGGGTTCTATTCCATTTCTTGCCTTTATTAATTGGTCAGGGCTCAACGGTACTTTCCCAAGTCTGGGTTCTGGATTTCTGACTTCTGTTCCGAACTCTCAAGTGAAACTTCAGGTGGGAGGTGAAGAAAACTCAGGCAGCGACAGTCCTGCGCATCCAGAGCCCTGCACACTGTCATCTGGCTTCCCTAGTGGGACATTTTCTGTCCCTGAAGATGCTTGTGGGGCGTGTTGACAGTGGGTGATGCCACTGTTACAGGTTCAGAAAGGGATCCCGGAGCGGTGGGCAGTCCCTGGAGGGGGTGATGTAGCTCAGCAGGAAAACTGAACGCTGAGTTTGTTTTTACCTGAAGTGGTGCTGCTGCTTTGGACACAGTGAAGGGCTTCAGAGCATCGAAAGTCCAGGCGTGTGTTAAATGCAGCCCCAAGAGTAGGTGCTTCTCTCTGGTTCTGAAACACGGCTCTCAGGTTCCTCTTTCCCAGCTCCCAGTCCTGTTCACACGGTGATTGACCCGCACCTCCCACCCGAGCTCCTGGGACGCATTTCTGAACTGGCAGAATTCCTCTTCAGGGTTATTTTTGGCTTCGTTCTTAACGTGTTAGATCAGGGCCACCTGTGAAATGCGGGTCCTGACTTGGTGGGCTGACACTTCCTGCTTCCCATGGTTTTACGGCTGTCGGAACTGCAGGATTCGGTGGGGGGTAGGCGAGTTTCTGTCTTATGTGGCTTGTTGGACAGGTGGCTTTACGGTCTCTTCGAATTCAGTACCGTGTAAGCTGTCAGAAGTCACCGGAAGCAAGTACTTTTAAAACTTTCCTCCGTTTAATGCAAACAGTAGAAGGATGATGAGTGGTTCTGTTTCTCCTACGTAGGGAACCAGCCAGGTGATTATAAAAATTCGGTAGCCATGTGTAATCACAGGTAGCCTCACAACGAGTTTTCTGGTCCTTCATCCTCACAGCTACCCCTTCAGTCTGCAGGGTCCATGGACTTCTTTCTGAAAGTATGGGTTTCATGGTTTACAAAGGCCTGCCCGGACAAGGAAGGTGTGGATGGTCCCTGGTTGCACAGTGCAGGAAGGGGGCAGTATTTCTTTCTCAGCTTCTCCTCGTTACCTGCCGTTCCCGGAATAGTTCTTAGCTTTCCTTTTTTTGGCAACAGCCCCTCTCCTGTCCACAGTCCAGAGTCAAAGGGACCTTTGTGCCCCACTGCCAATCAGATAGCGAGCGAGCACGTCACCTCCAGGTTCTGCCCAGGAACCTGTTCTGGCCAGTCTAGTTTCCAAAAAGTGTGATAAGTGTTTGGCTTTCCCTGAGTCCGGTTAGAAGAAGGGGACCAGCAGCTTCCCCCGCCTGTGTTGTGACCCGGAACTCACAACCACGTACAGTGGAACAGCAATGGTGAAAAATCACCTACAAAAGTCAGCTCCCCCCGGTTTGCTAAACAGGGAGACACTGGGGTGGAATTCAGCCTGAGAGACTTGCAGAACCAACACATCACTTTCCTTCTGAAAGCGGAAAGCAGACCACTCCCTGTGGCCAAGTGATTTTGATCTTGGCGGGGGCTGGAGTCTCACTGTCCTGCTGTTGGGGCTGTTTAGTGCCATCAGGGCCGCCATCAACCGGAGTTTGATACTTCGGTTTATGGTTTATCTTCTTTAAGGAAAAAAAAAGGTTGAGTCTTTAAAAATACCCCTGTTGGTGCCCAGTAGTGCTCAGGTAGCAGATCCTGTCCAAGCCCATACCACGTTTCTCCCTGCACGCAGCCCGGTGTTTTCTTCCACCTTGGCAAGGTAAGTCCTCTGGTTCTCGCGTGAGTAGGAGGAGTTGTGGCTTTGGTTTGATTCTGTCTTTGGTGGGAGGCCAGATGGTCCGGCAGTGGGCGCCTGGCCTGGTGGGGTGGGCACCGGGGCAGCTGGATGGCAGAGCCTCGCCTGCTCACTTTGGAGGCGGGGCTTCCTGCCATGGTGCCAGATGGCCCGCTTCACTGGTGCTGCTGTCCCGTCCCCACTGCTTGTCACCAGCCCCAAGTGTGCCTTTCCGTGCAGGGTCCTGTGTTGCCACATGATCTTGTGGGTGCTGTGTGTGTGTGTCGGGGTTATTTCAGTCCCATGAGCCCACTTTCAATACGTGTGAATATATGGGGGGTGGGGAGAACCCCGTTTGATAACCTGCCCGAAACGCCTTTCTCCTGGGTGGAGGTGAGCAGTTCTGTAGCAGCGCCTGCCACACCTGGCGGAGCCGCTGGTCCTCCCTTCATGCTTCTGGTTTGACTGGTGTTTGGAGACAGGTCCTCCTTGGAAAACAAGTCCTGCGCTGGGAGCCCTCAAGGCTGAGGGAGTTGCCAGTCCGGTGACCCCAGCAGGCTCTGCCACCACCTACGTCCTCCATCAGCCCCTGGGAACGTGCTCGACAGCATTCACCACATTGCCAGGTGGCCGTGTGTGCGCCCCTGTGTGAAGGGACCCCGGCCTGGCCACCTGCCTCGGCTGCGGTGGGGGGCCCTTGGTCTCAGCTGCAGCTGCCTGTGCCCATCTGGAGCAGCCGTGGCCCTTACCTCAGGGGGACAGACACTTGGTGGCAGTCTTTGACATGCGGAGAAGCCTTGGGGGCTACTCACAGGCTCTCCTGTTTCAGCAGAGTTTTTTGGAAACTTTGGCTGCCTCTGAACTCTGGTCTTGGGAGAGGATAGTCCTGGTGGCAGAGCTTCAGGATGGCAGGGCAGTAACTGATTAACCGAGACCTGCCTCACACTCACGTGGTCCGGCTGCCGCCTGCCCGGAAGAACAGCACTACAGTAGTGAACGGCTCCGTGTGTGTCCTGAGGAGGGCCAGAGCCCGAGCCTCCCCCACCCCTACCCCCACCCTAGGTCTCAGACAGCAGCAGCTGCTGAAGCTTGGCCAGTGGGCATAGGGGACCGTGCCCAGGGGACACACCCCCATCTGCTGAGCCCCTGCCAGGCAGAGCTCACACCTTGCCCACGGTGGGCCTGGTCTGGCCCGGGCTGCTGCGAGGCTTGGCTGCTTGCGGGTCTGTGTCCTGCCTTCCAGTCTGTGAAGTGGGTGGGCTTGAGGCAGGGTGTCCACTGCGGGGGGGTTGTTAGTGCAGGACAGGAGACCCTCGGGAGCAGAAGGCACCGGGCGCCGTGACTCAGGAGGGCTCTCATAGCTCCGAGTGTGCAGGATTCTGTGCTCCCGCCTTCCTCTGAACAAAGTCACACACCGCTTCTGACCTGACCATAGCCCTGTGCATCCTTTCTCCCGGGGGAGATCTGCAACCTGTGTTCCAAAATTCCAGGTGACTGAGACGTCTTCATTAAGCTGGGACACCAGAATCAAAGGCTTCGCGGCGTGTTTTGTCACGGGAATTCTCTGCTCGCTGCTGGTAAGGCTTCTGTCCCCTCCTCCATCTTGCCCGTGTCACCCGCCTCCTTCCCTCTGTCACTGTTCGTGGGTAAGAGGGGAGGGAGGAGGCGGGTGGGGAGCGGAACAGGTGTCTGTGTGTCCCTGGTGGTGTGGCAGGGGGAGGACACCTCCGCTCTCTCTCGCAGGGTACGTTCCTGCTCTGGGTGCCGAGAAAGGGGCTGTACCTGTTTGCAGTATTTTACACCTTCGGTAACATCGCATCGATTGGGAGGTAACAGGTTTTAATCTACCCTTGGCCGGTTATTAGAGGGGGAAGTGGAAGTGGATGGTGGTTGGGGGGTGGGGAGGAGAGGGCCTCTGTAGCTTTAAGGCTTTGGAGAGAAAGAGTAGTCAAAATGCATCCTGTCCCCGTCCTGTCACCGCACAGTGTGTTTGTACCTGAAATGCCCAGGGAGACGGCAGGTGATGTCTCACCACTGAGGTGTCTGCAGGAGGGCACCTCGGCCCGGGGCAGTTGAACAGCACGGCCTTCTGCCTGCTCTGCTGGTACCGCTGCTGGAGACTGAGCCTGGGCTTTCAGGAGCCTCACTGGGTCGGCGGCTGCAAGGGGAAACCTGTTATTATTCAGTGGGAGGCCACGGCAGACCTGCTCCCCACGGCAGGGCACCCGCCCACCGCTGTGCTGCTGGCTGCGTAGACATCCCGGGCCGAGCCCGTGCCCTCCGACGCTTCAGCCACGCCTGTGTGCCGACGCCGCCAGTCTCAAGGCCTGGTGGTGCCTTCTTGCTGGCTCCTTCCTCTTTGTCCTCGTGGCTGTTGCCCCTCCCGTGGGGAGCCTTGATCATACCCTGCTGGGCTCTGAGCATTCAAAGACCAGTATGGTCGGGCTCCTGCCATGAGGGAGCTCACGGGTCCGCCCGGCAGACAGACGCAACCTGATAGCAGAGTAGGACGTGGAGGGAGAGGTGCTCAGGGGCGGCCGGCCTGGTCTGACCTGGCCTGGGGCCAGGGAGGGCTTCCTAGAGCCGGCGGCGTGGGCGCTGCTCTCAGCTCCGCCGATGGTGTCGCTCATCAGAACTGCTGCAGGGGTCCCCCATTCTTGTCCTCCTCCACTGCCCCCTACTGGCCGTTCATTACTGTCCCCGCTCAGCTTTTACTTAGGGACTCCCTGTCCCTCTCTGCAGGTGGGGCCTGGGCCCAGGCCCTTGAGATCAGCCCTTGCCCCCTTGCCCCTCCCGCTCGTGCCCAGTATAGCCCTGAGTGCCGAACCTCCTGCCTGTCCCAGACACCCTTGTGCCTCTGCCCAGGCCTCATTCTTGTGTGGAACGCCACCCCAGTGTCACCGGTGGTTGGCTTGTATTAAACCCTGGTTATACGAGGCAGCTGCTCAGCTGATTCTGCGTGAGCCCTTCTGGGATGAGTCAGGAAAGGACAGGAGGCTGGCCCCGGTGCTGTGGGCGCGAGGCCCCGCTCTGTCTCTCCTGCCTCCTCTCGGGTCCCGTTCACACAGGGCACACCAGGGAGGCCCTTCGGAGCTTTGGAACCCAGCAGTTGCGGGTTTGCGTGCCAGCGCCTTAAGCTCCCAGCTGTGTGGTCCTGGATACACCAGTTAGCCGTCTCAGCTTCATTTTTTCCACCCCCCAAATAAGTGTCATAACACCCGACTCACAGTAGTGGAGGGATGAAATGAGGTCCCATGTGTGGCGTTGAGCAGACTTGCAACAATTCAGAGCGGATGTTACCATGACTAGAGGTATCCTGTAGGAGGTTATGAAGGGAAATGAGATGCTCTGCTTTTTAACATAAACAGCCTAAGCCTGTAAGGTGTCTGAGTCTTGTTGGTTGGTTGGTTTCCACGGGGAAGGAGGAAGGGGGCACCCTCGGAGGAGGTGACGAATGTGGCCCTGGAACCAGACCCAGTGCACGTGCAGTCTCGTGCCACTGCTCACTGGTCAGGGGTCTGGTCGGGAACCCGCCCTCTGGGCTGCAGTCTCTCCGTCTGTGAGACGCGGGTGGTAAGTGTTCCTGTGACCGACCCCGTACATGTTGATGGGGGAAGCGAGAGCGATGCACCAGGGCCCTTCAGCGTAGCTCGAGGCAGAGTGAGAGCTTCTCGGCCATGAGTCGGTCACGCAGGGGGCGGTGGGGGCAGCTTGCGCCCAGAGTGGCCTGTTCCGGCCTCATGGCTGGTGCGTGTCTCCCCGCAGCACGGTCTTCCTCATGGGACCAATGAAGCAGCTGAAGAGGATGTTTGAGCCCACGCGTCTGATCGCGACCATCATGGTGCTGGTGAGTCTGCCTGCTGGCTGCGCTTCTGGGGCGTGTTTTCTTCTTGGACCTTTTTCCTTTCATCTTGACTGCTACCCAAAGCCCTGGGAGTGGGCTCCTAACAATGACCCCCCACTTTGGGTTTCCACGGGGTTAAGGAACTGCCAGGTCTATAAATCACCTCCAGAGGGCGCTGCTTGCCTAATCAGCCAAAATGACAGGGCAGTAAGCAAGCTGGACGCCCTCCTGGGGATGGTGAAGCGACCTGCATACAACTTAGAGACAATGACACAGAGACACAGGGCTCATCCTCTAAAGGGGGACTGTTGCCCCTCACCGTCCTGTGACTTTGGGGTCACACCTGTTCTCACCCATCTTCGCTGTGGCCCGTTGCCCCGTTTTCCGCTCTGACGATGGGGCCTTCAGTCTTATCTTCTCTCCCCATCCCATTACCCAGAATGCCCATCCTGTCTCTGGGCTGTTTGCTTCCACGTGGCTGTCAAAAGCGTTCCCAACCACATTCTCTAGCCTTTTGTTTAAATTACCGGTGTTGCAGCATTTGGAACGTGGGCAACATATTTTTACTTCAGTTCATGGACCTCTCATTTGGTCAGACAGGTAAGTTTTCTGAGGCCCTGTGCACGTTTGCTGTTTACTGTGTCCTTCAGAGCCTCGTGCACAGAGCCGAGCTCAGAGGACATACTTAGGACACACTGCTGGCGAAGGTACCGTCCGGGATGGGTGGAGACGACAGGCATGACGGACCCTGGAGAGCCTGCTGTTCTTGCTTGGTCGTGTGTGGGGACGGCCTGGACAGCGTCTTGTAGGAAGGACTCTCTAAGAAAGGACCTAGGGAGTGTCAGGTGACAAGGAAACCGATCTCTCACTCGCTGGGTGTGAGTGGCATCTCATGTGCACCTTTGTCCTCGTGCGGCTCCTTCTGCCCTGGGGCCCAGTGTTTGGCAGGGGCAGGGCACAGAGGTGCGTGTGGAACCTGCGTTACGATGTGTTGGGCAGAGAGACCGGTGCGCGGGGGTGGGCCGGAAAGGCGACGGTGTTGGCTGGGTAGAGATTTGGGGAAAATCTGAAAGTAGAAGAGGATCCTTCTCTTTTAACCCTACTCCAGTTCTTATTGGGCTAGTTTAGTTTCTCTGCGATTTAAATTTTTCTGCCAATCATGGGCGCTCAGGTGGGTGAAGTGCTCTGGAATGGGGGAGGCATTTGGCCGCTGTGGCTGCCACAGGATCCGATTACCGCAGCCTGCTAAGTATTGGTGTAAGTTTGCCGAGAACGGCAAGTCCCTACGGTGTTTCCCACGCTGTGGTCATCACCGTGTTAACTTACCAACATCTCCTTTCTCTCCGCAGCTGTGTTTTGCGCTCACCCTGTGTTCCGCCTTCTGGGTAAGTTGGGCTTTGAGTCGTCCTTCGCCCCGTTAGTTCTCACACTGGCCGCCTGCGTTCACGGCACCATGTCATTTCTGTTTCAGTGGCATAACAAGGGGCTTGCTCTCATCTTCTGCATCCTGCAGTCCTTGGCCCTGACGTGGTAAGTGTCCCTGTCTGCATCGATCTCTGACCGCTGCATTGATGGTGATCAAACCCCGGGGGCTGGGGGGGAGTCAGAAGCACAGGCGCCGTTCAGCTGAAGAATCTCAGTGGTGCGGGCGAGGCCAGGCTGCAGAGCGCAGCCTGTCGACTGGGCCCCTGTCAGTGGGTGGCGTGAGGGGCCGCGGGCGGCTTGGCCACTGCGGCGTTTTGCGGGGCTCACGGTTGATTCTGAGATGTTATTAATGGTACCGAACCACTCACATCCAGTAAGAACAAGGGTGACGAAGTCTGCGGGGGCAGGTAAAAGGAGGCTGTGGGCCAGAAAGCTGTCAAAGAGAAAGGAGAGTGGAAAGGAAGAGAATGAGGGATGGGGGACTCCTTACCTGAAGAACGGAGAGGGAATTGTGGGCAGGAGGCAAGGGGGCTGGAGACCACGTGGCTGTGGGATCGGCCTCTGTGAGGGAGGCCCATTGGCAGGACCAGGGGACCGCCACTCGAGGGCCACGTTCGGTGAAAGGGCTTCATTGTTTGACACCCAGGTGGGGCTGTGGGGTGTCAGTCCTTCCAAACTGGTCCGACTCCGTCGGGACGGTGGGCGTGGCACCTGTGGGATCTGTAGCTTCTGAGCCCTGTCTGTAGAATTGGGTTGGTCAAAAAGTCCGTTAGGTTTTTTCCATCAAGTACAAAACACATTTTTGAAAAAGATTTTATTAGTTTTAGAGAGAGGAAGGGAAGGAGAAAGAAAGAGAAACATCAGTGTGTGATTCCCTCTCACACACCCCCTACTGGGGACCAGGCCTGCAGTCCAGGCATGTGCCCTGACTGGGAATTGAACCGGTGACTCTTTGGTTCACAGGCCGGTGCCCAATCCACTGAGCCACACCAGCCAGGGCAAAAGCACACGCACACATATTTTAAATTATTTTCACCAATAATCGTATTGATTTGGGTATGTTGAGTATGTCGGCTCTCTCCCGCTACCGGCTTCTGAGGGCAGAGGCCGGGGGGATGCTCAACACTTTCCAGTGTATGAGACGGCCCACAGCCGAGCATCGTTTGGCCAGATGTCAGCAGGACCAAGAAACTCTGCAAACCACTTCTGACACTCGCCATGCGTCACAGCAGGTCTCCACACACTGTACAAACCTTTTTTCTTAAATTTCAGTTGTGTTTTTACCTTCCTTGAAATAGTAAAGTATAATACGCCAAAAGTGTGTGTTTCCTGCCATCTTCAATATTAATACGGCTACACAATAGTCCACCAATTTCGGAAGTTTTTAAAAACACGCTGATAGGACAGCTGTCACAGCACAGTGCAACAAAATTGCTTTGAGTGAAGTTGATCACTGAGCTACATCCTGTATTCAGACTTTTCGGCCAACCCAGTTCTTTGGAAGTTTATGCATGACGTTTGCCAGATGGTTTCAGGGTGGATGTGACTGATCTGCTTTGGAAAAAACCGTCTGTTGCAGAGAAAAGAGGATTGTGGGAATTTTTAAAAAGAAATTATTTATTTATTTTTAGAGAGAGAGGAAGGAAGGGAGAAGAGAGAGAAACAGCAATGTGTGGTTGCCTCTCATGCCCCCCCACTGGGGACCGGGCCTGAAACCCAGGCATGTGCCCCGACTGGGAATCGAACCGGTGACCCTTTGGTTCACAGCCCAAGCTCAGTCCACTGAGCTGTACCAGCCGGGGTGGACTGTCTAGTGTCCAAGGATCAGTTATACTCCTCTGCTAGAAACGGATCTGGAGACTGCGAGCTTAGCACACACCCTCCCAGTGGCAGTTGGGACTGTTGAATAGCTGTGCTTTCACAGTGTTGGCCTTTGGGGATTGGCTGAGCTCGCAGGTGGGTGAACCTGGCGAGTGTCAGCAGGGAGGAGAGGGGAGGCCCGGTTTTAATGTGGCGTGTGCCGTGGTGGCAGGGTCTGCAAGAGCCTGGCGTGGCTGCTTACGTGTGTATTTTCATTTCCTGGGGGCAGAAATTTGTGCCCATGTACTCATGGCTGCCTTTGCTTGTGTGATCGCCTCCCCCCACATCTACAGGGACATGATCCAAGACCCCGTGGATGCCTGAAACCGTCCCGCCTGACCGATGCCCCAGGCTGGTCCCGAGGGTGGTGGGCGGCCTCCTCCCTGCCCGGCTCCCGCTGGGGCCGCTGAGAGAGCCTTGGACCCGGGTTCCTGAAGAGTCAAAGCTTGATTGTACTTTCATCCATAGGGTGGCTGGCGACTGGGGTTTTATGGTCTTCCGTTTTCTGTTTTTTTTGAAAATTAACTGGAGTAGAGCAGACAGTTTGTCCCAATGGGGAGAGGCTGTGTTCTGTTAAGGACTTGTGCATGTCAATGTCAGAGGACAGCTGGCCTGGGGCTGTCCGCCGTTCTCAGGACACGGCTTCTGCGCCGATCTGCCCGTTGCAGGTGATGCTCCTTCCCACAGATGACACTCTCCCTGCCCTGGGGCCCGGGGACCTGTGCACACGTATGAGTGCGCCCTGCCCGAGGGGCGAGGGCCCCGGGGACCTGTGCACACGTATGTGTGCGCCCTGCCCCGAGGGGCGAGGGCCCCGGGAGTCACTGCAGACGCTCTGGCGGCTCAGGCGCCCGTTCCACCGCGTTCATTCGCGCCCTCCATGTGATCTGATCTTCTGTGTGTTTCTCCTTGCAGGTACAGCCTTTCCTTCATACCATTTGCGAGGTAAGACCGACCGCATGTAGGGCCGTGGTGTCTGTCTCTTGGGGACGGCCCGTGTCTGCTAAGGGCCTGTGGGTTTGGAATGTTGGCAGAGACTGCCTGTTGTTTCACCTTTGCTGCGGGCCTTTGAGACAGACAGGCAGGTGGCACGCACCTGGTTAGTGAGCTACGGTCGTCTCCCCGCACCCCACCCCTCCCCCGCGCCATCACACACCAGCGATGGGCGCTGACCCAGGCCCACTCGGTCCTGCTGCCGGCAGCCGCCTGCTGGGACCTGCAGTGGGTAGACGCACATTCCTGCCCTTTGCACCTGTGCCCTGGAGGAGGTCTTCTCAGAGGCGGATCCATTCAACGTCACTGAGCACAGGGTGGCGGGATCCCAGCCCGGGCTTGTTTTCCAGCAGCATTCTGAGGATGGGAACGTTTTATAAAGGGGAAGCAAGCAGGGGCAGGGTCTCCCAGTGAGCAGTGGCCTTGGGCGGCGTATGGGACCCCTCTGGCGCAGAGGCCTCGCTGACGGCTGCCCTGGGCTGGCCCCTCCAGCCCTCAGTTCTGACCCTGCATGTCCCCTGAAGTGAGCACGTTTGGTGATCTTGCCTCCGACTCTGTTCTGACGTCACCGTCTAATTTCCATTCTCATTAACGCAGTAGAAGCTTTTCCTAAACGTTGAGAACGTGGAAACCGGTGCTGAGTGGAGGAGGAGGGGCAGGCCTGTGTCCGCCCGCCCATGTTGTTGCTGGTGGGGGTTGGAAGATCTGGGGGTGATTTGCTGGACGAGAACCTGAAAAAGCCCATCTCAATCGCGGCTGCTGAGTGGCTTTGCGAAGGGGCCCTCGCTGTCAGATCTCCTGACGGGTGCTGTGTACTGTGGGCGTTCAGGAGGGATCTCACTTGGCCATGAAAGCCCTTCTCGCTCAGAACACCTCCTGGGAGGGACCACAGGGTGGGACGTGCCTTAAGAAACGTTTTAGAATTACCTTGACGTTAAAGCATAGTTGCCTGCTCATGTGGGTGCCCCTCACTTGCGGGCCCCTCCCCTCAGGGGGCCCCCCGAGCCCTCTGCACAGGGCAGCCGGGAGCGGGGAGCAGAGCGGGGGTGAGGGCACAGTCCACGCGCTGCCGGAGGAGAACAGCGGTTCTGGGAGCGCCCAGCTTCCCTGTGCACGCTCCCCACTGGTTCCCAAGAGCCAGTGCCTGGGTGGGGCTACACGGCCCCTTGGGCTCTGAGCTGTAGCGAGGTCCCTGTGCTCGGGAGCTCCTGGAAGATGTCCCTCAGGATGTTCCTGCTCCTGCTGCTCGCTGACAGAAAGTCCCCAGGGGGCCGTTTTCACTTAACGCATTGAGTGCGGTCTGTGGTTCTGGTCGCTAGAAAGTGCACCGTCCTGGCCCATTTCCTGGTCTCTGGCCGTCTCTACTTTTTCAACTTCTCCTTTGGGTATCGCGCATCCGCGGCCACTACTTTGTACCATCCACACTACTAGCCTGTCGGGCGGGTGGGGACATGCCCTTGTACAGATGAGACATTGGCCACTCAGACAAGACGGGTGACCTGCCTGGGGCCTGGCCCCACAGTTGGGGTGCTCTCTTTTCTGCAGCGTGCCCCTTTGGGTGCCGGGAAATCTGCAGGGGGGTCTTGACCCCTTCAGGAGCCTGGGGTGACAATCTCCTGTTTACCCTTGTGTTTTTCCCCCTAGGGACGCCGTGAAGAAGTGTTTCGCTGCGTGTCTTACATAGCACGTGGCCAGCTCTTGCGAAGCTTTGGACGGAAGCCGACGGACACTTTTGTAAATATCTTCTAACTCTCTGGCTCACAGGCCTGTGCCTTTTCTCTGGTCACAGTGGGTCTGGGTGACCCAAACATTTGCTTTTGGAGGCAGCAGCGTGTCCCCAGTCCCAGATGTCTTATAGCACAACAGGAGGGGCGGTTCTGTATCCTCCGGAGAGGCATCAGCCTCATCAGCCCCTTCCTTGGTGGGTGTGGTTCCCCAAATTCTCATAAATAAAAACCGCATTAAGCAACAGACAAGCCTTGGGAGCCAGGGATCGTCAGGTGGTGAGCCCCTGGTGGCGGGGGCACAGCAGTAAGGGACAGCGTTTGGGGGCCCACGGGACTTTGTAGACTTGTCCCTCAGCTTGGAGACTGGCCTGTGCCCCACACAGTGTGGACACGCTATTCCCTGGGTCAGGGGCCAGGGACTCAGCCCCCCCTGACTGCTATGCCAGCCCACAGAGCAGGCTGTTGGGGACACGAACGGGGCACTGGGTGATAAAAGGTGCTGCTGACTCTGCACCTCGGCCTGTGCAGGTCCCCCGGCTGTGGGACGGGTTTGTGACGGTGGCGCCCGCTCTTTCTCTGGGGTGTTTCTGTCCTGCTTTCCTCGTGATGTCTGGGAACTAGCTTGAGAGAGATCAAGGCGGCAAAGAAAGTGCTGCTTTTCCTTTTGGACAAGCGCCAACAGGAGGTGACAGTTTTTGCTGTTCTCTGCTGTATTTTTTTCCCTCACTGTTTATAAATGGTCAGTTATGTTTCCTGTCTCCTGAAGTGGGGCCGGTGTTGGGGAGGGAAGGCAGAGCCTTGCTTTGGGGTCAGCAGGGTGCAGGCGCCCCGCCCCTTGACCTTTAAGTAGGTTCCGAGTTGGCACTTGAGTCCCCGAGGGACACACTGGGAGAGATGACACTGTGGGCCGCGGAACCACAGACGAAGGGCTTTGTGTCCCCGACCTTGTTCTCACGGGCCTCATGAGGAAGCAGGGCTGTCCCTCCATGCGCTGGTGGGAATTGAGGCTCGGGGCGGTTGCCACATGTGCCCGAAGCCACAGTGGGTGGCAGAGCTGGGCCCAGAGCCTGGTGCCCCGGCTTCCGTCTCTCTTGTGACCCTGTGTGTCCCCGTGTGGCTCCAGGACACCCGCTGGAGCTGCGTCCCTGTTTTCACCAGCCAGGCTGTGACTCGGCCCCTGCAGAGTCTCCTGCCCTGTCTCCCCGTGGGCAGCGTCCCGGGCCGGTGGCGTCTCCGTTGGTCTCTGCATGTCATAGCTCTTGCCTGACCTCCAAGTGACCTGTCTTGGCCGCCGGACCTCTGGGCTTGCGGCAGCCCCAGAACCACCCTGCGGCGAGGTCTCCCTGCGGTGCCTTTTTGTCCTTCACCAGCCCCGGCTGCCCCCAGGCTCTGGCTCCGGGAGCCTCCACACTGACGGCAGTGGCCGTGCTGGACCGCGCCCCCTGTGCACAGAGCCCTCAGACCGTCCAGCCTTCCCCTCTGACTGGGGAGGAAGGAGCAAGCCCACGGGGCCCTTTGCGGGCGGCTGAGGTCCCGCACCTGCCTTCGGCCAGGGCGGGAGACAGGGCGCCGCCCTCCCTGGCGTCTGTGGGTTCTTCCCCACCCGGTGTCTCTTGAAGACAGTGCAGCTCCCCAGTGGGCTCCGAGCTGCCTTTTAGGATGTCACCAGTGTGCACCCCACAGCGGCAGAGAGCGTGGGCTTGGATGTCAAACGTGGGTGCTAGTTGTGGCTGTCACGTACTAGTGTGGTGTTGGACAAGACACGTACCCTCTGGTCCTCAGATTGCTCATCTGGTTGAAAAGGGGACAGGGCAGCCCTGCCGGTTGTTGGCAGGACACAGGCGGGGTGCGTGCTGAGAGTTAGTGCACGGCCCAGCACAGGAGAGTGACATCTCAGTGAGTGGTGGGTGACGTCACTCAGTCTGGGAATAGCCGGTGACTGTGGAAGGTGACCGGGTGAATTTTGTCTCTGCCCATCGATTCATCCGGAACAAAGCCCGTGCCGTGTGCAGCCTCACGCGGCGTTGGCAGTAACTCTGGGCTGGTGGTCTTGCCTCCTCACGATCTGTCCCGGGGCCGGCTCCTCAGTGTGGCTGTGCCCCCGGTCTCCGCTGCCCACCCCCGCTGTGGCTGCTCCTCTCTGGGCAGGGCAAAACCGTCCCCAGCTGAGTGTGTTCACGGGGGCTTCCATCAGTCCCTGGCGGGGCCACCTTGTGGACTACTTCCCTGTGCGCCACCTCCCACCGTAGGCAGCGCAGGGAGCGAGAACCAAGGGCACAACGCATCTGAGTGAGGGGTTGTGGGGACCCATCGGAAACCAGCGAAGAAGTGGGTCCTACCTTGAAAAGAGGCTGTGGGCTGCTGGCTCGGCTGCTTCCTGTGTTGGTGGCTCATGTTGCTGCCTGAGCGATGAGACCTGGTGGAATGAGCTAGTCTCAGCGCTGCGGCTGGGGATCCCTTTGGGGGCGGGGTGCAGCCTGGGCCGGCCTGCCTCTGCCCCTCGAAACCGCTGTCCAGGGTCAGCCGCAGGCACAGACTCCCGAACGCTCAGCGTGTCCTCGGGCTTCGCCGTCAGCAAATTAACAGCAGGGTTCAGGCTTTCAGAGCTGCTGTGCGAGGTGTGGGGTACAGTTTATTTTAAAATCTAAGATTTTTTCGATGTTTAAGATGGGCAGTAGTTCCTTGGCAGGTAGCATTTTTTATAAATGCAGATTTCTGCCTCTGTCCCTCGGTGTGATTGCTTGACTCAGCCACTCTGAACAAGGAAAGGAAACCCAAAAGTCCTGATGGTGAAGCTGGGGTGGGACACGGGCTTCCCCGTGGGGGGCTTTTATGCCTTCAGAACATTGTGTCTGTTCTACCCTGATGGGCTCTTAAAACACTTTGTTATAACATGAGTCACTTTTTATAATTGTAGACAGTCAACAATTTTGAATGCTGCTGGTTGCATAACTGAATTTTTTTCTATCGAAAATATGTCTGTGCGTGCTGCTTTTCCTCCCTTGAGACTGTTTCGTACAACAAAGATTGTGCTTTTTACTAGCTCGTTTCAAAGAGAAAGAATATTGCTGATAATTAAGCTATTTTCCCCCAAAACATCACAAAACACTTGTTTTTTTGCTTTGCTTTCCCCTTTAATAAATGACCGCATCACGATCTTTAATAAAGCCAGTGTCCTCCCTTCCTCGTGTTTGTCTTACTGGGGACCGCCACCCCAAATGCAGTGTGTGGCCAGCAGGAAAGCCTGTGTCTTCAGTGTGAGTCCTCTGTGGTCTTCCCTGTGGGCGCTCACCGGTGTTTTCTGAGCAGAGGACTTGGGGCAGGGGTGTCAGACTCGTTTTCCCTTTAAAGGGCTGACTGTAATTTCAACTCCTTGACTGTCAAGGAGCAGTCACAGTTATGCAGTCCCCCAAATTACCTTGGCCCTTTGAAGGCAGCCGCAAGGCCGATGTGTCCCTGGGGGAAATGAGCTGGATGCCCCCGATCTAGGGGTTAATGAAAGGTAAGACATTTCAAGTGTGTTTTGGGGATATGCCTGCATACCTGGCTTGTTGGGTCACTGCGTAAACAGGGATTGTTAGATTAATTAACATAAAGTTGATCATTTAAAAAAAATACTTTTCATGGCTGTAGGATTTGTAGTTGCATTCCTTTATTGCAGATACTGGCTCTTCAGGTCTCTTTATTTTATTTAGTCCAGCTTGAGGTTTGTGAATTTTGTTGAACGTTGCAAAGAATACTTAATTAAGGAGATTTGGACAGAAATTTAACAAAAGAAGATATGTGAATGGCCAACGAACACATCTGATACTGTGATTGTGTGAAGATGAAAAACCAGGTAAAACTCTATTCTACACTTAAAGGTACATGCGTAGGTGGTAAAACCGTTAATGACCAGCAAGTCATTTTTATGTTCTATAGCTGTGTGGAGGTCAAGAGTCATTTAACTGACACCCTGGTGGACAGTCCCAGTCCTGTTCCTCCCCAAGTGCTGTTCCTTCTTGTCGCTGCCAGAGACTTAAGCGAAAATTTGGGATGACATTATCATAGACACTTGGAAACTTGAGGCAGAATTCATTTGGGTGACGTGTCTAGCGCAAAACCACAGTTGATTGGGGTCAGGCGAGCGGTTGCCGGCGGCTGTGTGCCGGCTGACCTTCCGGACACAGGCAGGATGGGCCCTCCGCAGGGGAGGTGTCTGACGAGGCTCTTGCGACATTGGGCTGGAACTGACCCCCTAGCTGCTAATGAAAGAGTAATCCTCCCTAAATTGCCCCGAAGCTAGTAATCCCCTGGCTGCAGGTCCGCGATTAGACAAGAAAGGCAGAGCAGCTGTCTTTTTGTTCAGTTTAATTATGACCAGGTACCTGGGTGAGTGTTCATTTCCTGGCGGCACTGGAGGTGGGGGAACAGGTGTCAGGTTGCCGCAGGGACTCGATGTGCAGACTCGGAATCCGCCCAGTGTGTGCCGGGAGCTCGGGTTGCGAGGCTTTCCATTTCTGCCCTTTGCATCCCAGACACACCTTAATTAATACCCCCCACCTGCCCCCAGGTCGAACGCAGCAGGGCAGCTGCTGGACCTGCAAGGTAAAACTTCACCAGGTCGTCAGGCAAAGAACATTGAGTCCCCTCACCCCTGCAGCAGTGGTCAAGGCCAGAGGTCAAGGCGGAGGTCGCAGAGCTGGGCATCGATTCTCCCCAGTTCTGGATATTCAGGGCGCCGAGCAGGGGGTTCTGAGCCTGTGAGCTGGGAATAAATGCCTCTGCTCGTGGTAAGCATGGAGGCCCTTCCTCCTGATGCTTCTCTGTGTCCTCCGTCCTGGAGGAGTGGTCCCACCGCCGGTCCTGTCCTCCGGCAGATCCTGGAGCATCATCGACAGGCCCCCTACCCTAACAGCCACGTCCAGGGTGACCTGTCCCCGTGGATCCTACCTTCGGAAGAGCTCTCCCGGCTGCTGCGCCCTCTGCCTCCCCACGGCACTGCCTCGCTGGCCTCTCCGACCTGCCCTGCCCCTAAAACGCCTGTCCCATCAGTGACGCGCTCGCTCCGATCACCCACTGCAGTTGGGGCCAAACGCCGGTCCTCTTCCCACTAGCTGTGTGTTCACACTTCCCTACTGCTTCATTCGTACTCAAACTTACATATTTCTCTGGTTGTACTTTTTCCTTGTCCCAAGACGTTCCGTTCTGGGAGACACAGGTTTCACACACAAGCTCCACTTCTGGGGTGTAAATGTTACTGTCACGGTGTTGGTCCCTGTGCCGATCAGCCGGGTTTACTTGTGGGAAATAAACCAAATGTCCAATCCTGTTCAGTTTCCTCTGGTCCCATATCCCGTGTGGGCTGAACTCCTCTCTTATTCAACACTCAGTGTTTTTATGCCTCTTCTTGGAATATTCTCTCCCTCAAGTGCAGTTTTTCCTCTGCCCAAGGTGCACTCCTACCCCTTCAAAACCCTCGTGTCTCCTGCTCCGCAACGGTGTCCCTGGCTCTCCGGTTTTGGGCCTCCTCGAGCGACTTCACTCCCGAAAGTCCCACTGCCGATAACCTGTCTGTCTCCTCCCTCCTGAGGTCAACTTGCAGCCCTGAGCGGACTCCGAGATGTGGGTGGGACACAGGCCTGAGCTGGACTGTGCCAGGGAAGCACACCCATCCTCTGGCCACGAATCTCGTTCACGAAATCGAGGGACACTGGGGGAACGCAGGGACTTCAGCTTCTCCTGGCACGTGATACCAGGAGTGGTGAAGTTCATTGTCCGGGATGTGGTTTTCCGTGGCTGTCCCTCCTGCTCGGTGGCCCGATGCCTGTGGACTGGTTGCTTCACCGACTTTCTGAGCTTCAGCTTTTCTCACCTGGAAAATGGGTGTGATCATCGCTCCTACCCTAGAGCATCATTGTGAGGATTAAGTGAGAGAATGTGTTAAAGTGCTTAGCGTATTTTGTGCTTGTCAATTAGCACTACTCGTAGAAATGCAGTGTAAGCAAACAGTCGTGGCTGTTCCCCTGAATTTATTGTACAGAATTGTTGAAGTGATCAAAGTCAGAGAAACAGTGATTCGATGAGTAAAAGGGAAGAAGATTGGGTAAATGAAACACGACCCGTTCATACAATGGACTGACTCGCAAACGTTAAAGTAGTGATGTAGAACATTACATGGTAACATGGGAAAGTTATCTTTGAAAAATGTTAAATTGCAGAATTAGATTACACATTAATAAATCTTAGTGTGTCCTTCACTCATACGGTTAAACACTTATAGGAAAACTCTCCCCAGAAGCAGCCACTGTTCTCTCTCTTTTTCTTTAGTTACGGTTGTTCAGCTGCAGTTGCCTGCATTTTCTGTTCTCTCTTTATACAGTTAACCTGCTGCTTCTCTCCAGTCTCCTAGACAGGGTACAGGTGCTGCTCTGTGTTCATTTTTCAATGTCAGACGTTATTTACTGTCTTCCTGCCGTCGGAGGTGAGAATTTCGTGTCCCCCTTTTCCCCTGCGATACAAGCTTCCCCTTCTTTCATCATCCTAATAGAAGTTTTTCAAAAATCAGTATTTATCTTTTTACCACTGTATTTCTAGCTGAAGTCTAGTATACTGTGATTATATCGATTATACAGGGGGTCCGGCACAAATAACGTCCCTTTTATTACAGAATTGTTTATTGCAAAGTCATTAGCATGTGATTCTGTGCCATGACAGGGTCACACTCAAGCACGCCCAATGGCCTTTTGGGTGAAAAGTTCAAACGAGAGCTGAATCGCCACACCCACCCCGTCACCCTCCTACCCGCACCCCGGTGGCAGGCCTTCCCTGGGCAGGACCCTGCATTTCCTTCCTGGGACAAGTCGTTTTACCCCTTGTAGTTTGTCGTTGCCTCTGGTTTTTACATCGGTTTTCTTGCTTGTTGGTTTTTAATGTCCCAAGACTCTGTCCCCTGGTGGACGTGCCCCATGTTCCCCTTCCTTGAGGGCGGCCGGACCTCTGAGTGTGAAGGGTTTCGGTCCTGTGGTTACGTTGTCACTTTGTGGCACAAAGGACTGGTTTTCAGGTGGAATTGGGGTTCCTAGTCAGTTGACTGACTCAGTGAAAGGGAGATCCCTCAGGGGGTCCCACCCGATCAGGCGGACCCCCTGAGGACAGAATCGCAGCAGCTGTTTCCTCAGAATTATTTATTTACTGTCTTGCTTTGGTTTGACTTCTGTGTCAGATGGCCCCTGCCTGCGTCATATTTAAGGTTGAGACACATCTGTGATGACGGAATACCTGCGAATAAGGACAGAGCATAACAAGAGGTTGGCTTTCCCATTCGATTGGGGCCGGCGGTGACTGGGGACGGGTCATTTCACGGAGGAATCAAGTCTCTTAACCTGAGGACTGTGCCTTAAGTCTCTGTCTTCAGTGTGGCGGCAGGGCTGCCCCTGCCACCATCAGTGACGCCTGACTCTGAGGGCAAAGCCTTTCTAATCTCTTCTCTGACGAAAGTCGGTCTCAGTTTTCCGATGCGTCGGGAGGGACCACTGCCTGGCTGGTGGCTGGGGGCCTCAAATGGGACTGTTTCCTGTGTAAACTTCGAGATTCTGCCCCATCAGGTGCAGAACTGCCCACGCCCCCCTTTCAGAGGTGAGCGATGGGCCGGTGCCTGAGATGTTTCCATCCCGTGCACAGACCGGCCTGCCTCTTGCCGTCTCCCAAGCCTTGGATTCCAGCGTTCTCCGATCTGCTCCGTCAGGGACCACTCAGCCACGTGAGCGGTCAGTTCCCGAAGTTTCCCCGACATCTATGCCTCTTCTGTACTCTCCAACTTTGTGGGTGTACATCGGATTCGGCCCTGGTGCCGCGTTGGAGGGGTGTGCCGGGGGGTATCCAGGAAGGCACGCGTTCATCTGCCCAGCCCACTCTGAACCGTTTCCAAGCCCCGTCTTTTTAAAGGAAAAAATAGACCAAACCTGTTGGCAAAGGTCAGCCCTGGGTGTTGAGATTGTGAGAATTTTTCTTTTCTTGTATTTTTCCGAAATTGTCTAGAATAAGATACTTAGTAACTAGAAAACAATTATGCAAGTAAAATGATACTATTACATAGGTGTATCCATCAAAGCATTTTATATTACTTTCAAATCCAAGAGTTAGGTTGAACCTATAAAATTGTTTTGTTTTTTAAGATTATTTATCTATCTATAGAGAGAGAAGGAAGGAAAAGAGAGAGAGAAACATCAATGTGTGGTTGTCTTTTATGCATCCCCAACCAGGGTCCTGGCCCACAACCCAGGCATGTACCCTGACCAGGAATCGAACCAGTGGCCCTTTGGTTCACAGGTCTGCGCCCAATCCACTGAGCTACACCAGACAGGGCAAAATTGTTTTTTTTTTTTTTTTCTATTCAGGGAAAACAAAGGTCGAATATCACCAATCCCATACAGTTCAATCTAAAGTAGCTACTATATGGCCCCAGCTGGGTAGCTCGGTTGGTCAGAGCATTGTCCTCATTTGCCAAGGTTGTAGGTTCAATCCCCAGTCAGGGTACACACAAGAATCAACCAATGAATGCATCAATAAGTAGAATAACAAACTGATGCTTCTCTCTCTCTGTCTGTCTCTCGAAATTGATAAATTAATTAAAAAATAAACTAATAGCCCTGGCTGGTGTAGCTCAGTGGATTGAGCATGGCCTGTGAACCAAGGGGTCGCCGGTTCAATTCCCAGTCAGGGCACGTGCCTGGGTTGCAGGCCAGGTCCTCAGTAGGGGGCGCAGGAGAGGCAACCACACACTGATGTTTCTCTCCCTCTCTTTCTCCCTCCCTTCCTTCTTTCTAAAAGTAAATAAATAAAACTTTTACAAAAATAAACTAATATAACACAGACCTCAGAAGTGACACGGCCTGGCAAGGGGACCCATTGACTAGACAGAGCAGATTCAAGGTCACGAGGGTCCGAGCCACCTCTGCTGTGGGGGGAACCCACAGCCGCTGCCCTCCCAGAGCCGTTCGCGGGGCCCGCTGGTTGAAGAGACTCAGGTGCTAACCGAGTTTTTAGGAGCACACTGTTTTGGGTGCGACTAAGAAAAAATGGTATTTCCTTCTTTTCTCCAAAACACTTGACACGTCTCTGTATTAGAATTCTCTGGGCACATGCCTGTTTCTCTCTCCTAGATTGTGAAACTGTTGAAAGGCCAGGGAATCCGCATCCTGCTGGTGTTTGTGGACTGTCTGGGGAAGTCTTGTTCACTGTATCACGGTGTTTTCATTATAAAGCTTCACAGAAGTTTCTCTCAGGCAGAGGGCTTGTTTTTATTTTAGGAGCACAGACTAATGTATGCTTGATGGTGTTTTCCCTTTTTGCCTTGGCTGCTAGGAAGCTCAGAGCCACACTTGTGTGTTGGTTCTCAGCCTTTTTAAAATCTGCACTTAGATACCTCTCACGTTGATTTCTTACTGCTTCCGTAACAAACACCCCATGGCCTCCGCCAGCCCAGTGCATGGCCCTACCACCCTCTAACTCCCCGTCACCTCCACCCCAAGTCCCTCATGCTGTTCGCTCATAGCTGCTTCTGCGATGGACCTAGAGTCCAATCACATGTCTTTGTGCCACGGCCCCCACGCCAGGCTGAGATGCCACCATTTCCGTGACACCAGCCTCCTAGCCTGTCTCTTTACTTCAGCTCTTGCCTTTTACTAGCCTCTTGTCCCCTAACCAGGCAGCTTTTTAAAAACACAAAGCCAGTCATGCCGTTTTTCCATGTAGCCCTCGCCAACGGTCTCCTGTCCCACGATGACGAAAACCCAGGTCCTTCGGCAGCTGGTCAGGCCCCCATCGCACAGCCTCCCCCGGCTGGCTCCTCATGCCGCGTCTTCTCATTGGCCCAGCCTTGCTTCTTGCACGTGGTCCCTCTGCTGGCCCCGCTCCCCCAGACCCTCCCTGGCCGAGTGCACGGCTCCTTTAGCCAAGACCGAGCTGTCTCCTCCCCAGAGAAGCCTTTCCCTACAGCTCCTCTCATTCAGTCCTCCCCACCCACCTGGCACCCATGCACCTCCCCCTCCTCACCCTCTTCTGCAGCCTCAGAGACGTGGTGGGCTCAGTGATGGTTTGCTCCTCTGTCTGGTTCAGCTCTCTCCTGGGAGGTACGGCCACTGCTGTCCCATCCATCACAGGGTGTGATGCGGCACCAGGCCTTGGCACCTAGCAGGCACTGAACATTTTGCGTATCGTCCTCACCCTGACTTGACTTCCCTTTTTACTTTTATTTTCCTTCGGTTTTGACCTTCCGACTCTCTGTTGTAGCAGGAAGAACCCACACCCCCCGGGGCCCACTCAGGGTGGAGGAGGAAGTGCAGGCTCTGCCTGTCGGGGGGTAGGGTCCCGTGTCCGGAGTGAGAAGGGGGCGCTGCTGCTACCATCTTCCCAGGGGCTGTGGGGGTCCTCCTCCCCCGAGTGCCACAGACTGTCTTAGGCAGGGGTGTCAGACTCGCGTCCACCGGGGGCACACCCAGGAGCAGTCACGTTTACACGGTCCTGAAATTACACTCAGCCCTTTGAAGGCAGCCGTGAGGCTGCTGTGGCCCCCGGGGAACAAAAGTCTGACCCCCCTGCTCTAAGGAAAAGGCCGGGCGCCCCTCTGGACCCAGGAGCAAAGCCGCAGTGCGCAGTAAAGGCCCAAGCTCATCCTCACTCTGGAGGCGGAGCGTTGCTGCCCCAGGGAGATGGAGGTGATGCTGCGGGGGTTCCTCCCTGGGCCAGGGCTCAGACAGGAAGAGGGAAGACTGGGGCTCTGGGTCCCAGGGCGGAAGGATGAGCGCGTCCGTCTGTGGGAGGTGAGCAGGGCATGGGTATGTGTAGGGGCCCCAAGGAGAGAGGTGACCTGTCGGGGACGCCTGGGGGGGAGGGGTCCTCTGCTCTTTTGCCTGACCTCTGACCTCTGACCTCTGACCGCGGCACACAGCCACCTTTGCCCCCTGGTGTGGCGGTCACACGCCCTGGCCCAGTGCCTTCTGCCTCCACCTGTGCTCTCGTCCCTCAGGCCTCCTCGGCCTCAAGTGTGTCCATTCCTGTAGGTGCCACATGCCACAGTTTGTACACACACGGGATTTGCCTGATTGTGGCAGTCTGGGCCTGGAACGATTTTAATTAATGGGAAAATGGTCCTCAATACACTGATTAGACCTCTTCAGGTACAACAAGATAAAAGCCTGGTAATTTGGATGGAGTACTCTTCTTAAACGGTTCCTCTGTGCTTGGCAGCCAATGGCAGAGCTGGGCTCTCCTCCACCTGATCCAATGAGTAATTAAGAGAGGGCTTTTTCTTCCCCCCTCGCCCCTCCCTGCACTGCCCCCCCACCCATCCGAGGCTTAACAGGTTGGTGTATAATTTGGAGACTTTAAGGGTGTCATGCTAGGAGCTCAGGCAAGAGCCAGGCATCTTCTCTCCAGCTCCCCAGGCCCCGGCCTCTCACTGCGGACTGAGGGGGAAGGAGGTGGCAGGCGGCAGGGCCCGGGGCCCAAGGCACGCCGCTTGGCCCCGCGTTCTCTGTCCGAGAGTGGCCCGTGGCCATGAGTGAGCTGGGCGCGCAGAAGGCCGGCGATGGCTCGGTCTCCCACCTGCTGACCGTGGTGGAGAGTGAGCTGCAGGCCGGCAGGGAGAAAGGCGACCCCACGGAGAAGCAGCTTCGAATCGTCCTGGAGGACGCCCCTCTCTGGCAGAGGTTCAGGGAGGTCACCAACGAGATGATCGTGACCAAGAATGGCAGGTAGCTCGGCGTGTGGTCCCTGTGGGGGCTGCCTGGGCTCAGGGGGGGGGGGACCCCCTGGGGAGTGAGGAGGCCGCCGTGGAGTCTGGCGAAACACGTCTCACATGCTGCTCCTGCCAACTTAATTTCTCTGAGGCCGTCAGAGGAGTGGAGGGTGAAGCAGCCTGTCTCGCGTGCAGCTGCAGTAGGGAGATTCTGGGAAATTGCTCTGAAGCAGGGCATGGCCCCTGGGTCGGGGAGACAGATGTGCTCACCCTTCAGAAGACAAGGGTAGGTCGGGGTGGACGCGTGTCCCGGGGCAGACCCCAGCCCTCACTTGGTGCAGACCAGGTGAGAGCCAAGGTTTCGTGGGAGCCGGGTGGTTTCTGCTCAAGTGTAACAAACTTGCCAGAGACTTCTGACTGGTTGGAATTGCAAGCCGAAGGGCACATTTTAATCGTTGCCTGTCATTACCTCTGCTTTCTGGGTTGCCATTTATTGCCTGTGTGTGTGTGTGTGTGTGTGTGTGTGTGTGTGTGTGTGAGAGAGAGAGAGAGAGACAGAGACAGAGAGAGAGAGAGAGAGAAAGAGAGAGAGATGTGTACCATTGTGGTCAAAGGTAACGAAACAAACGTGTGCCTCCTGAGAGAGGGGAAGGTGTCTTTTTTTTCTCATTTCCACAGGTGAGGGATTAACTGAGCCCGATGTCTGTTGGCATTTCTTGGATTCTATTAACTTGCGTCCGCTGAGGGGCTGTCAAGGTAATTTTAGAAGCTTTCGCTTAGGAGAAGAGACACGACTATTTTGAAAGATGATTTTGCTACTCCCTTGCCTGGCCGGCCAGGCTCCCAGCGTTCAGCCAATGTCCACTCACCTTTCTGTCCACGCAGTGGGTGAGGGCGGGCAGGGCTGTAGCGGTCACCCCAAGAGAGACGCCCCACTCTCCAGCAGAGAGAAACCAAGGCCCCGAACGTCTGGAAGGCTTTTGCCCTTGTGCGAAGTGTCTCTGTTCCCGAAGTCACGCTTTCCAGTCTTGTGAAAATGAAACGCACAGGACACAAAGTGAACCACGCCTTGTTGGAGTTCTCCAGGAGAGCTCCGGAGCGGAGTGCCAGCCGTCACAGGACGCTGAAGTGCTTTGTCAGGGACAGGCAGGCCAGAAATGAGGACGCTGAGATCCACTGTGATTACCCCCGGGGCCAGGAGTAGCGGCCGTGCCGGGGGTCTGTGTGGTCCGTCGCTAAGCGGGTCCCACTTCTTTCCTTGCAGGAGGTATTTCTTTTAACGTCTGTAATTGTTCCTGCTCTGGATCGGTAGCCACACACTGTTTTGGGTAGAAAGAGATATAAACCGTGTCTTTCATTTGAAGGCGTCACCCCAGATGCCTGGTTGGATTTACTTTCTGGGCGAGTGCGAGCGGTGGTACAGTCGTAAAAACGTGGCATCTGATCACAGGCAGTTACGCTGACGCCGAGCCTCTTGCTGTGTGTCTGGCCGTCAGAGTGGCCATTGCGAACACACAGTAAGTATGGTCACCAAGTAAAAATATATTCCATCTCTTTCAATGAGGACTAAGGAAAAGTTTCTGATACCATTATAAAATTCAGTTTAAGTGTTATTAATATTAGTCATATTGGTCTGTACTTTCTCTTGCCTTTTTTACCTATACAATTTTTTCTCCGCGTTTGACGTTTAGAATTCTTCTCATGGCTCAAGTCATCTGATATGAACTGTTTTGTGTAAAAAAGATCCTCAGCTTGGTGTTCTCAGTCTCTGGGGAGGCCCTGCTGCTCCCCCCACCTCCCGGGAGCGGAGTCTTTCCTTAGATTCTCTTAAGGTTTCTGACCCTCTCCCGGTCAAAACTGTGCCAGGAGATCTGAGCGCTCCTTCTGCAGATAAAGATGGGAGGCAGCCTCTGCGAGATCCTTGCGGGTGATGATGAATGAGCTTCCCCGGGAAGGACGCACCCTCTCAGTTTCACAGACCTGACGGTCGGTGACGCTCAGCCGTCCCTGGCGTAGACACGCCTGTCTTGCTTCGCCCTCTCTTTTCCCACCTTCTTCATCTCCACTTGCCCCTTCTCCAACCACCTGTTTCAGCGTGTCCTTTGCACCCACGTCCTCGGACTGCGTCCCCTCCAAAGGCCCTCCCCGCCGTCTCCCACACCACCTCCCGAGCCCGAGGCGGGTGGGTTTGTGGGCCTTCTCCATGGAGAACATTCCTGGCATTCAGCCCCCAGCCTGGACCTTTTGTCCCTGACCCCCGTCAGCAGTAGAGAGTGACTTTTCTGAAAGCCTCTGGTGGGGCTCTCATTGGGCCGAGTAGTGGCGAGTTTTGAAGCAGCACAGGACAGAGTGTGATGAGAGAAGGAAAAGCCTCGTTTTCAGATGGAGACCTATTTATTTGCACGAACTGGAGGCTCAGGTCTCGAACGTGGATGAGAAGTAGCAAAGAGAAAGGGTTTTCCCGGAAAACACCAAACTGCCCCCGAACCTGGGCTCCGATGCCCTTCACACCTCCCTCCCTCCCCCTCTTCGTTCTACTTTACCCCCCCCACCCCCGTGTACGCGTCCTGCACCCTCTTTTCGACTCATCGCCTGTCTTCCAGAGCTCACAGCTCTGACTCCCAGAGCTCATTGGAATCTGCTCTCAGCATTTTCTCTGCATCCGTCCAGCTCGGGACTCTGTTTTAGCTGCAGAAAAAAAAGAGACTTATTTCAGGTTTCCGAGGCAAGTAAATGAAATCCCTTGTACCTCTTGTTTTCCTTACTGTCACTTCCTCCCTCCGGGGGAAACGCTACCCTTCGTGTGTATTTTCACCCAACTAAACAACTTCGACTTAATTCTGGCTCAATTGGCCGTGGGCAGGCACATCCGAGTGCTATCATAAAGCAAGAGTCGGGGATCCCAGACGGAATTCGCCCGTGGTGACGGGTGGCCGGTGCTGGCAGCCCATGTGCATGGTTTCCAGGGAGCCCCGTGCAGGAGCAGAGGGGACCCAGGCTGCTCACCAGGCGAGTTAGTGTCCGTGTGCTTCCCAGCCGCAGACGTGCCTCTCCAAGTGTGCCATTGTTTCCAAGCCACACCTCCCGAGTGGGGCCTTTGCCCCCTTGTGCTGCTCTGCCACCTGCGGCACCCGCTGCGCCTCTGCTCCGTTCTTCCCTCAAACCCCCCTCCTCACGCCTCCTTCACCCCTGCTGCCTCCAAGGCCCCCCGTTACGCAAATGAAATGACCACTAACCTCGCAGCCGAGCAACAGGGTTTGTGGGCAGCCCCACTGCCCGTGGTTCCACCAGTGAGGTTTGGGGAGTGCTTATTCACCTGCCACCTGTCTGTCTGTCTGTCTGTCTATCTCTCTATCCCCTCCCACTCTCTCCCCCTAACTCAGGGACTGACCGATATGTTTTCTGGCTCCTTGGAGACTCTTGGGCGTCTCTGTGGTGAGCTGCACTGTGGGAAGAAAAGGCAGGAAAATCAACCCCAGGAGAAGGGTAGCTCACCCCTGGAAACAAGCGTGGCCATGGGCACTGCCCGCAGGTGGACACATGTCGCGTCCTGGCCCCTGTGAGGCGGGAGGAGCCGAACACGGCTCAGCCTCAGGGTGAGCTCCAGTCCCCAGTACGAGATCTGTGGCCAGAGGACTGACTTACATTTGATCCTCTTTGCATAATGGAGATGAAGAAAGACACGGCGTCCCTTAAGTTCCTTTGTGTGGTGATGAAAAATAATTATAAAGCAATAAGCCATCCCTTTTCCGGTGTCCTTCCCAGAGCCAGGACACGGTGGCTCCTTCTTTAATCTCTTGTTAGTAGCTTTACTGTATCCTCACCACACACCAAGTGGTTCACCTGTTTAATGTGTAAAAGTCAGGGGTGTTGGGTATATTTGCAGAAGTGTGCGTATAGTCCCACAGATAATTGTAGAACAGTTTCATTGTGCCCCAAAGAAGCCCTGCATCCTCAGCTGTCGCCCCCCGGCCCCCCGGCCCTCCCAGTCTCGTCTATTTTGTCTCTCTGGGCGGAACTGCCCGCTTTGCGCACTTCAGGCTGACGGGGTCAGGCCATACTTGGTCCTTTGGGACTGGCTTTTGTTCCTGGAGCGTGAAGTCTTCAGGGTTCTGGCGTGTTGCAGCCTTTTTATGGCTGACTAACACTGCTTTGTGTGAACAGGCCCCGCTTTGTCCACCCACTCATCATGCGTGTTGTTTCCCCTTTTGACCGATGTCACTAGGAGCACGCGTGTCTTCATGTGCACACGTGGTTTCCGCTCTCTTGCACATGCACCCGGGAATGGAATTGCTGGGTCGGGGGGCAGTTCTGCACCCAGCTGCTGGAACTGCTGGGCCGTTTTCCAAGGCGGCGGGACCCTCTCCGCTCCCACCGGCGGTGCGTGAGGGCGCCGATTTCCCCGCGTCCTCCCCATGCTCGTTGCCGTCCATCCCCGTGAATGGGAAGCGGCGCCTCACTGCAGTTCCCTTTTGCGTTTCCTGTTCACATTTTCTGTTTGCATTTTCCCTCTGGCCAGTGATGCTGAGACCTTTCCACGAGGTTGCAGTTTCCCTGGAATGTCAGGTGGAGCTGCTGACCGGAGCGAGAGAGGAGCCAGCTCCGGGCTTCCCCTGCGTGAAAGGCCCTGCTCCACGCTTCAGGAGGCTTGGCACATCAGACCTGAGAGAGAGAGAGACAGAGACGGGGGGGGGGGGGGGGGAGGGGCGGGCCCTCCAGCCTGGTGGAGGCACAAGCGAGAATGGGGTGTGGTCCTCCTTCTGCCCGAGCCGCTCTGGCCTTCTCCTGCCTCCACAGCCCAGGCCTGTTTGGACCTCGGGGCGGTGGACTCGCGGCTCCCCTGTGTGCAGGCGCGTTTCAGTCACTCCTTTCTGGCATCTGCACCTCTCGTGACATCGGTCTTAGCTCAGGGGTCAGCGTGGAACCACTGTGGTCCAGCCGAGTAGCTCTGTACCCGCCGCCTCCGGCCCAGTCTCCCTGTTGACAGCACCCACTCGGGTCCCTCGGTGGCAGGTGGACGACCTGCAGTTATTTTACTTGTGGAAAAAGAAACCTGTTTACGTTTCTGCGGCCTGCCGTTTCTGCCTGCACGTAAGCTTCGTGGCTGTGACGCGGGGCCGGCCACTTTCTGCCACCGAGGGCCCGCCTGCAGCAGCTCCTGGTGTGGAGCCTGCGCGTCACGCCATTTGGTCAATGAGTAAATAAGCCTCCGACGAGTGTCCAGATCTAGGAAAACATCGAGGGGCCGTCCTCTCTCCTTTGTGGCCCACCCACGTTGGCCTTCTAGAAGAATGAGAAAGGAGAGAGAGAAGGGGTGTGGCAAGAGAGGGTGGCGGCCTGAGGGAAAGGGCCCAGGCTCCTGCTTCCTGAGCCTCAGTCTCCTCATCTGTAAAATGGGTGTAAGAGCAGTTGCCTCCTGGGGCAGAGTAAGGCTTCCTTACAGGTGCGGGAAGGCCCAGAGGCAGAGGAAAATGCACTCTGGGTTAACGCTCACCGTTCGGAAGGCTGTGCTTCATTCACTCAGAATTGCCCGGAACTCCCTCACGTCTGCCCACGGGCAGCACCACGCTGGCAGCCCCACGTGTGGGGAAGACACACCAGCTTTCTGCGCTTTGCCTGCGTTTACACGCCCTGGGGATTCGTACTGACGGAGCGTTCACCACTTTTCAACTCTAATGTGTGAGGCGGCAGGCATGCACAGTCCATCCCTCTTTTTTCTTTTAAAAAAGAAAACCGCGCATTTCAGAAAAGCCCCGACCAGGATCAGACCTTCTCTGTGGTCCCCGCGGAGACCAGCCCGGCTGCTGGCTGGCAGTCAGATGACGCCGTCTGACCCCCGACCCCTGTCCCTTCTGACCCCATGTTTGGGAGTCTTTACAAGCAATGCTGGTGCGGTCAGGGGCTCTGGGCCCGTGTTGGGCCAGTGCTGCTCACGTAAGTGGACATGTGGGAATATGTTGTCAGAGGAAACGGTGTAGCCGGACACGAACAGGAGAGAGCGGGTCAAACTCCTGTTGAAGAAAGAACGAGACGATATGCCGCCGGATGGGACTCAAGGGCACAGGCAGACTCCTCACGGGGGCGTCGTCACTTTGGTTAGGGAGCAGGTGGAGCCCTGGCTGGTGCGCTCAGTGGGTTGGGCGTGGTCCCGTAGACCGAAGGGTTGTGGGTTCGATTCCCAGTCAGAGCACATACCCAGGCTGCGGGTTCGATCCCCAGTTGGTACCCAGAGGAGAAGGCAACCAACTGATGTTTCTCTCTCATGTGGATGTTTCTCTCTTTCTCTCTAAAAGCAATGAAAAAAATATCCATGGGTGATGGTAAAAACAAACAAACAAAAGACTAAATCATGTCATTAGGGAGGGCGACGCTGGCAACACTCAGGTGAGCCCTGGAGGGGGGGCGTCCTCTGAGGCATTGCTCTCCTTAGAAATCGTGTCACTCTCTGTGTGTGTCCTAAACCGTTTACATTCATTTTCTCCCTGTGAGCCCCCCACACGGGGAAGGGGAGACCCTCCTGAGGGGAGTCCAGGGAGGAGGAAGCCGCAGGACCAGCCATGGTCCACGGGCGACCCCAAAGCCTGGGGTCCGAGTGCTGATGGTGGCGTTGTTAAAGGTGTCAGTGTACCGTCGTTTGAGACGTAACTCACATGCAGTCAGATTCACCCTTCGGAGGTGCCCAGTTCAGTGGGTTTAGAATGTCCACAAAGCTGTGCATTGGTCACGAAGACCAGATTTCAGGACATTTCCATCATCGGCTCCCCCCAACCATAGAAACCCATTTAGCAGCCACTCCCCCCTCCCGCCCGGACTTATTACCTTCAGAGAGGAAAGCAGAGGGCAAGCGGGAGGCCGCATCCATGTCTTTGGGTTTCCGGCTCCCCAAGTCACTGCCCGAGGTTAGATTCTAGAGCCAAGCAGAGCCCGGCTGGCCGAAGCCTCGGGCATAAGGACAGCACGGCCGCTGGGCCCGGGGCACTCACTGGTTGCCGGGCATTAGAAGAGGCGCTCTGCACTAATTAGCTCCTTCAGTCCTTTTTTTAATGAAAAAAAAATTTTTTTTTTTTTTGCTGCTCTCTTTGAGTTCTTGCAGCAGCTTTGAGGCTGGGTGAGTGAGGCAGTGAAGTTCGGACAGGTTCAGAGAGGCCGCTTATGGCCCTGTGTTCAGTAAGGGTGGGGGTGGGGACCAGGCAAATGGAACCAGAACCGACACTCAAGACTCGTTCGGCGTGTGGCCGGCCCTGGTGGCCAACCGCGAACTCAGTGCTGGGCGGCGACGTGGGCCCTGGTCGGCGTGATGGTTGAAGCGCCCAGGCTCTTCAGTTCTGCCCAGAGGAGCTTAGAAGCAGCCCTGCGGCAGCGCGCTGAGAACCGGGACCTCACTGCGCAGCCCACAGTCACAGGACTGGGTTGGAAGGGGGGCCAGCAGAGGAGTTGGAATGGAAATGTCACTGAGGTGGTCGAGCCAAGGGGACAAGTCCTGTCGGTGTCCAGCGAGCTCTGGGAGCCCGTGTACCTGGCGCGCGGGAGCCTGGAGCCCAATGGCCCGAGTCCTTCCTAGACCCGCCCACTCATCCGTCCGTCATGTTCTTCCTTTTCCAAATGTAACAATGCCCGCTGCACCTTGTCTCAAAGCCAGGCACCGCTGCACAGACAAATGTGCTCAGGGACCCTCGCGCCCTCGCCTGGGCCCACCCCTGCCTCCTTGGACCCCTTCTCCTAGCGGTGGGTCCATCCCTTTTCCCTTTTTATTCTCCGCCCAGCTCATCAGAAGCACCCATCCTTGGGCCACTCCCTTGCACAACTCCTTCGTGATTGTCTTGAAGTCGAGGATGCTCTAGGCCAGCAATTTGAGGCTTTCGGGTTCCTGGCTCACCTGGGGGTTCGGGAAAGTGGATTGGGACTGAGTAGTGCAGAGTGAGGTCTGTGGGTCTGTGTTTCTGCAGCTTCTGTTACACAGATAGGCTGGTTTGTGGGCCACTCTGGGCAGCAAGTCTCTGGACCCCAGGGGGTGAGCTTCCCCGTCAGGGGATGCAGATGCAAGAAGTGGCACTGGCCAATCAGACAGCACCAGGAGCTATCAGGTGGGAGGGGGATGTGTGCCTGGAAACCAAGCCTCTGGAGCCCCGACCGGAGCAGCTCTGATGTTTGGTGAAGGAAAAATGAACCGCAGGGAGTCAGAAGCCAGGCGGCGAGGGAGCTTCTGCAGAAGTTCCTGTGAGCAAACTCACCGCGTGTTCCGGAGGCGGAGGAAAGACTCAGGAGTCCAGACCAGAGTGCGTCCCTTGGGCACACAAGAAGTTGGCTTCGCTGTCATTCAAGTTCAGAGTGTGCACTGACCGGTGCCAGCCCCTCGCAGGTCTGGGCTGCCCTGCAGGGTTGTAAAGGCCCCGGGGAAGAGGCTGGAAGGATGGCCCTGAGGCATGGGGTTGGGGGTGGGGGTGGGAGTGGGAGTCCCACCCCTGACCTTGGGCTTCAGGTTCGTCTGTCAGGTGGCTAGATCAGTGGTTTCCATTGAACGTGCAGTGCAGCGGTTTAGAGGGAGACCCCAATTGGAAATGTATCTGTGAGCAGAGGCTCCGGTGGAATTGGGGCTGCCGGCTCACCCCCTCTTTCCTTGGCCTCCCCAAGGGTGTTCTGTGCACCCCGAGGCCCTTCACGATAGAGCTCAGAGCGGGCGGACAGATGGCCGGACCAGGGGGCTGGTGTCCCTGACCCTCGAACGTCCCTTCTGTGGCTCAATTTCCGCCTTCCCTTGCAGACGGATGTTCCCTGTTCTCAAGGTCAGTGTCACGGGGCTGGACCCCAGCGCCATGTACTCCCTCCTGCTGGACTTCGTCCCCACAGACGGCCACCGCTGGAAGTACGTCAACGGGGAGTGGGTGCCCGCGGGCAAGCCGGAGGCCTCCAGCCACAGCTGTGTCTACATTCACCCGGACTCGCCCAACTTCGGGGCGCACTGGATGAAGGCGCCCATCTCCTTCAGCAAAGTCAAGCTCACCAACAAGTTCAACGGAGGCGGGCAGGTACGCACGATCTTCGCCGGCCTGGCCGCCCCGGCCACCCCCCAGCACCAATCAAGAAAACAAGTGTGCATTTAGTCAATTAGTGGGGTCCTCACCGGCCTCTTCTCCCACGGGAGCCAATTATTCCCCCGAGTCCAAATGTAAACAGGAATAAACAGCTCTTAATTGGTGCTTTCAGTTTTTAATGGACTCCCTGATGTGGAGAGAGAGCTTACTTAAAATCGTGGGCCCTTTCACAGTTCTTCCAGCAGGGGAGGGAGGGAGGGGGGGAGGTTTGGTTATTTCCTCTCCCTCTTTTTGGGCGAGAGTGGCGTGTTGGCAATGGACAAAGGCCTTCATGGAAAGCTGCTCCTAATGAAATAATTGCTACCTCCACTTGGGCATTAGGATAATTATCAATGGAATATGGAACCAGCTTGGGGTTTGCAGAACAGAGACAAACCAACCTCAAATTAGGAAGGGTTTACTTAAGCTTTTCAATTGGAGCGAACAAGATTCGGGGGCTTTTTATCTCTTTTGTTTTCTTTGGTGGGATTATGGAGACTCCCATAGGGTTGTTCTTCACTTTATAACATGTAGAATTTGGGGGGGGTGGTTAGAGGGAAAGGTCTGTTCTCCCCGTGTTTCTCCCGGCCAGTCTGTTAGCCCCCAGTCTGTCCACCCTTCCCAGGTCTCAGCCCAGAGGGGGAGGTAATCCGCCCGAGTCTCAGCCATTTTCGGAAGGTTCCAGTTCTTTGTGAAAACAGGAAGTTGGAAAGTGAACTGTGTTGCCTCCCAGGGTTCACCACAGGAGACTTTCCCCGGATCTTTCCTGGAGGCGCAGGGCGGGTTTCCCGTGCCAGCAGGGCGTCCGAGCTCTCCCGGTCGGGTGGTCCCTGGTGGGAGGAGCCCTGGCCAGGGGTTCAGCTGCCCTATTCCTCCGGACCAGCGAGGGAAACCCCTGTGTTTCAATTGGTCAAATTCGCAGGGTTCTGCTGAAAATAGGGAAAGGAAAGGAGGGAAGTCAGGGTTCCGGCAGAAAATGGAATATTCTTTGGAACAACTCCCTAGCAAACCTGCTTCCCCCGCCATAAGCACCAACGTTATGGTCCCGGAAGCCTCTGGGAAAATTCCCCCTTCCTCTCGCAGACGGGTGTGTGTGGTGCCACCTCTGGTGACCGAGGATTCCCAGTGGGCGGCCCTGACTGGGTGGTGTGCGGCCAACCACAGGGAGGACCGTCCACCCCCCGGAGAGCCAGGCCTTCGCCTGTCTTGTCTTCCTCCTCCTCTCGCTCCTCAACAGATAATGCTGAACTCGCTGCACAAATACGAGCCCCAGGTGCACATCGTGCGTGTTGGGGGCGCCCACCGCATGGTCATGAACTGCTCCTTCCCGGAAACCCAGTTCATAGCTGTGACGGCCTATCAGAACGAGGAGGTGAGGGTGTGCGCGCGTGTGTGTGCAAGTGCCTGTGACCCCGGACAGCCTGGGGGGAGGCGGCCGGGTGTTTCATTGCCACCACCCACCTGGGCTGCCGGGTGGGCTTCCCAGGGGGTCAGGTGCCGTCGGCTTGCTGCTCCTTTTTGTCCCTCTGCCTGAGGCCCACCGGCACTGGGCGGGTGGAGCGTCCTGAGAGACCCCACACAAATCTGTGCCCCCGGCCTGCACAGAGCTGGGGTCTCCCCTGCTCCGGAAGCTGGTCTGTGGTCACTGAGTCAGATCTGTCCCTCCGTCAGTGGTGTCGGGCCGTCCGTGCTGCTGGCTGGCGGGTCTCTGAGCGAAGTTCGGTCTTTCCCTGCCCGGCTTGAGCCGCTCTGGCCGTGACAGCTGGGTCGCCAGAGAGTGGCCGCTGAGCGGGCGGGGCAGGCAGTGTGGGTCCATCCTTGTCCTCAGGGGCCCCAGCACCTGCAGAGGTGTGGATTCTTTCTGATTATACCTCAAACAATCTTTAAATGTAGACGCGACTACAGACATATGTACAGAACACGTGTGGGGAAGAGACACGGAGCCAGTATTTGTTGAGACCCTGGAGGATGGGACCGGGGGCAGGAGGGAGAGGATACCTGTCTACCTTTTATCTTTCATTTCCACTGCACACTTCTGTACTATTCATTTACCGTGTGGGCATTTTAAAAGTCACATGTATCGCCTTGAACATGAGGCCGGGAGAAAGACGAGAATGTGCCCACGTGGCCCAGAAGGGTCCTCCCTTCCTCCTGGGCTGCCCCCGGCTCCAGTGCCAGAAGGAGGGCGCATGTCTCAGGCCTCGGCTGACGGAAACATTTTCCAATATTGTTCATTCAGCAGATGTGTTTTGAGGGCGGCCACCCGCTGGGTGCTCCGTGGGCTAGGAACACAGCAGTGAATAAAACAGATGTGTGCTCTCTGCCCAGGCGCTTAGGTCCCAGTGGGGAGAGATGAAGACCAAATTAGTATGTCATGTGTCTCCCACGTCTGACTCGTGACGTATGCATGTCAGGTGGCCCTGAAGAAAAGCAGAGCAGGCTAAGGCCGAGGGACACTGAGTGACAGTGGGAGTGAGAGCTGGCATTTCGAGCTACCAGGGCCCCATGTGGGCGACTGTTTAAGGATGCGGGAGGTGATGATCACTCTCTCAGGGGGGTGGGTCTCCCTGCCCCGCCTTCCCCTGTGTCACCAGCGACCAGAAACGCAGCTGACATGGGTAGGCATTCCGTAATCGTTGCAAACAACGAACGCGTAGATTAAAGAAAGGATTCCAGGATTCGCAAGGGAGGCTTTGCTCACTCCCAAGGCTTTGTCCTGCCTCTGCTCACATGCGCCGCAGCTGCACGTTTGCCACAGGCTGCAATAAAATGTTCTTTTCCAGAGACAGTGCCGAGGTGGCTCACACAGAAGTAAGCACAGCGACACGCAGGGGGAGACAGACAGAGGGAGAGGGGTGGTTCTGACTTTGCGGAAGGTCCCAGGAGAGGATGGCGGGTTCTGTCTGCTCGTGCGTGTTCCACTCTCACTGACACTTCTTGTCTTTGTGAACTAAGATAACAGCTCTCAAGATCAAGTACAACCCCTTTGCCAAGGCCTTCCTGGACGCCAAGGAGAGGTGAGTCGAGACGCTGCCATTGAATCTTCCGCACTGACTTCTGCAGATGGGAAAGGTGTGGTCGCCCAGCGGGGCCTAGGCTCCTGGCGCTGGCTTTAGATTTGACAGAAGTAGGTTTTCAATATTTAGGTTAATATTTAACAAAGTCAGTAAGATTCAACAAACCTGTGGTTATCCATTCCTTATAAAAAAGGTCCAGGAGACAAACCTCTAGCTGGCGATGTTGGGTCGGCTGTTTTGCTATAGATTCTTGAAAGTAGCACCACCACATTTAAACATAATGAAGCGTTTAGATTTTACCTAGTTTACTCTGTCACTCCCCAGTTATGTTTTATGGTTTCAATAAGTTGCAATAAAAAAGAAAACAAATTACATTTAGCTAAGAAAGTTGAGGAATTCGTAAAGGTACGAGGTTCGTCTCTTAGCTCTGAGAGAAGTTAGCGACTTTGGGATGTACGTGGTGATCCTACCACTTTGGGCCGTGACTTCAGTCCCTGCATTTTTCTACTCTAGGAAAAAATGAAAAAAATAATGGTTATCACTGACTTCTGTCAACAAGGTCTGGAGTGTAGACGTGATCACCACTGATTCTATTGCCTGAGTTCCAAGCCTTTTTGGATACCTCCTGTAACTGTCCAGTTTTCCCTTTTCGTCTTAAAGGCTCGAGGTTCACGGACAGCCATTTATAATGTGTGCCCCGGATCTGTCCTGGCAATATCCGACTTACCCTCAATGATGTAAAAGACATACTTATCACATTTTCAGATAAGTATGGGCCTAAAGAAAATCTGATAGGTGAGACGACAGAACCCGGGTTCAAGTGGTAGGAACGTGGTGTGATCAGGAGAAATCAGGGCTTGGGGTCAGAGGCCCTGACTTGGAGTCTGAGCTTTGCTGTTTCCTGGCTGAATGATCTGGCCAATGTCAGTTTACCTCCGAGACCCTCTTTTTAAATCTGCAAAATGGGTGTAGCAATATTTCCCTTGCAGGCTGGTTGGTGAGTCTAGCCTAGCCCAGGTGTGGTTGCTCCTTGAAGTCCCCTGCAAACCTCCGCTGTTGTTGGTATGTGACGTTTGTCAGGCGGGAGCGATGGCCACAGGTCAGGAAGATAACTAAGTAGGGGCAGTCATAAATGTGGCAACTTGGAGAGCCATACGATTGCAATTCAGAGGGCAATTGCCCAGGTCCGTGAAGCGTCCTGGAGGAAGGGGAGCGGGGGCGAGGTAGTCACTTTGAGGAAAAGGGTGTTTGGTTTTCAAGAGACTTGGGGCTGACCAGTGTGGTGAGCTGGACGGCGGGTTTTGCTCCTCTTTCAGGAACCACCTAAAAGATGTTCCGGAAGCCATCTCCGAGAGCCAGCACACGGCCTGCTCCCGCTGTGAGTTGGGGCGGGGGGGGGGGCATTGGGTGGGAGGGCCTGGGCCATCTCCCACCACACCTGATCCCTCACCTGTCCTGACTGCTCCCTACCCACCCCAAGTCTTCCATCCACACCCAGTGGCTATTTCTTCTGCTCTAGACAGGTCTCTGCATTTGCAAGACTTCCCAAAGGGGACCAGTGTTCCCAGGGGCGTCAGCAAGCCTTGGGTGGCAGACGAGAGTGGGAAGGATGAGTTTCTCGGACTCTGGCTTCTTGTCAGTGGGGCGGAAAGCCCTCGGACGTGGGCCCGGGGCGCATCTCCACCCTCACCCTCTGCGCTCCGGCGTCTCTGTTCTGCATTTCCCATTGTTTGCACTTGATTGCTTTCCTGTCGGTCACCACGGCCAGCCCTCTGAAGCTGCAGCAGTGACCCAAGGTCAGGGACGTCGGCGTGGAAAGCTCACCCTGGTGTTGGTGACACGCTCTTTAATTCAGATGGCACTATTTGCTAAGATGTATTCCGCCATTTCCCAGCTGGGGAGCCCCTCCCTCCGGCCCTCTCTCCCCAAAACCCTGATGCGTCTCCCTCAACTGCAGAAGTTTGAGAGCAGCTACACAAAGGGAAGTGGCTCCCAGAAAAGCCCTCTTCAGAGTGACTGGGAATAAAAGGTTTTCATAAAGATGGGACCATGGGCAGAGCCGCATGTTTGCCACTTTCACTCATTGCAGGCTTCTGAGCAATGGTCTCGGGCTGTGTGCCTAGTGTGTGGCGAACTGAGCGCCCTGGGGTCTGGTTCTGGGGAGACACTTGCCTGGCTTTGCCCAACTGGACCCCTGAATCTGGCCCCATCGGCAGGTAGGGACCCTGTGGCTCCCGTGTCTAGGCAACAGTTGGAGAATGGCGAGGACCACAGGGGAATGCCTCCCCCACACTTTGTAAGACGAACCCTGTACAATGTGCTTACTTATTCTTGGCAAGTATTCAGGAAAGGCAGCGGTCGGTAATAAAAGACCCACTTCCGTATTTCCGAAACTCGGCGACAACCCTCAGTGGGAGCATTCCTGGGGAACAGCGGTGGTCCCGTCTCCGTGGAGAGGCCGGCCGGTGAGAGGATATGCTGTGTGTCTCGGGGCAGCACTACTAGGCCTCTCTGTGTACCCGGGACTCAGTGGGAGCAGAGCCTTCTGTGAGAAGGCTCACTCACTTTTTCTTATCATAGCAAAGAAGGCACGCGACATAAAATGCACCCTTCCAACAATTTCCGAGTGTACGCTAAACACTGTGGACCATGAGCACATTGTCTTGCAAACGATCCTCAGAACCAACACCCAGAAGGAATCCGGCAAACAGCTCCTCTCCTCTCCTCCTCGGCAAAGGCAAACCGCAGTTCGGCCCTCTACCCTACCGCTGACCCTTCCTCGCTCTGTCCCCCCCCAGTGCCTGATGGCGGGGATCACACAGCCCTTGTCTTTGTATGATGGTCTTTGTTCTTCTTTTTCAGGTTGTTTTGGCTCTTCGGGGTCTTTTGAGAGTTCGTATGGACTTTAGCTGCTTTTTTTTTATTCTGCCCCAAATGCCACCGGGACTCTGACAGGGGTGCCGAGAAATCTGTCTGTCACTTTGGGGCACATGGACATTTTCATAATATTAAGTCCTCCACGTACGGTTTTCTTTGCTGCCTGTCTGTATCTTCTTGAATGTCTTTCGGCAGATGTTTCGTGGTGTCCCCCTTGGCGTATCTTCTGCCTCCTTGGGAGTTTGTTCTTAATTATTTTATTCTTTTTGAAGCTCTTGCAAATGGAACGGTTTTCCTGACTTACGCTTTTTGGGCTGTTCATTGTTGGTGTATGGAAATGCAGCTGATTTTCTGCGTCGATTTTGTGTCCTGTGACTTTGCCGAATTTGTTTGTTGGTTCTAACACGTGTGTGTGTGTGTGTGTGTGTGTGTGTGTGTGTGTGTGTGTGTAACTCCAGGGTCTCCTCCCTGTAAGATCATGCCAGCAGGGAACAGGGATGATTTTATTTCTTCCTTTCCAATTCAGACGCCTTTTCTTTCTTTGTATTATTTGTTTATTGTGCCCGATGGCCGGGGCCAGGACCTCGGTGCGACGCTGAACAGAATGGCAGGAGTAGGTCCCCGAGCGTAGTCCTCGGTCTCGGAGGAAAAGCTTCCTGTTTCTGACTGTCCAGTTTGCGTTTGGTTGTGGGCTTGCGGTGCTTTCGTTGAGGCAATTTCCCCTTCTCCCTAGTTTGTTGTGTGTGTGTGTTTTTAAAATCATGAAAGCATGTCAAGTTTTGTCAGATGCATTTTCTGCATCGACCGAGGTGACATTCACGAGTGAGTTTCTATGAAACACTTTACTGCCTTCCGGAATACCTTGCCAGGCCCTTGCAGTGAAGGCAGGCCAGCCAGCCCCCTTTAAGCTCTGGGATCCTCTCCGTGGGGGTGCTGGGAGGCCGGGAGGGGACACACAGAGTGGCCTTTGCGCTATGTGTGACCGCCCCAGACGGCAGCCCCAGGTCAGTGAGCTGCACACACAGCTAACGCCTCCTCCTCTTCCTCGGACTGACTCTTAATTCTGCTCAGTGAAGTCAGAAGCAACTTAAGGTTTGAATTTCCATTTGCTTATGTATTCAAGCAGTCTTTTACATCGCTGTGGTTCCTGGGTTGCAGACTTGGATAGGACCTGTCAGTCATCCATCTCCAGAGAGACCAGTGGAAGGGGCGTGGCGGGGGGCGTGGCATCTCTGTCTACAAGGCAGATGCGCAGTGTGGTCTGCATACGAACATGGCGGTGCCCAGTGGCCCGGAGCCCGATTTTGGGTGTCAGGCTCTGTGTCTCCCCCTTGTCGCTTCCAGGGGGAGGCTGGATCTTCTCCAACCCGGACGGCGCGTGCCCCGCGGGAAATGCCAGTTACCAGTACACGACCCCTTTGCCTCTGTCTGCGACCCACACCCACCGCGGCTGTGAGCGCCACCCTGGCCTCCGGGGACACCGGCAGACCCCCTACCCTTCTGCGTACGTGCACAGAAACCACGCTGCCTCAGGTGTGTGGCTCTGCCAGCGGTGACACCCTTGGGGGCCGGGCTGGGGCTGGGGTGGGGAGAGAGGCGGATAAACAGCAGGTAGAAAGAAGTGCCCGGAGACGGAGCCCCTTTCCCCTAACGTAGGTAGGACTCTGCTGTACGTTATCAGTTTAATGTTTTCTTTTACATACCAATGGCTGACTGTGCAGTTATAACATTGCTGGCATTTCTGTCACTTTTTCAAAAGACACCAAGTCTCCTGGTTCTAATGGTCGTGGTGGCTCTGAGGGTCACCAGTTCAATTCCCGTTCAGGGCACATGCCTGGGTTGCAGGTCCAGTCTGGTCGGGGTGCATGCGAGAGGCGGCTGCTCCTTGGCCCCTGTAGCGCAGCCACAGCTGCCTGTGGCCCCAGGATAATGCTGCCGGTGACCATCTTTGTAAGGTCTGAGTGATCTGTCCACTGAACCACTGTTATTTCTCCAAAGTGAATTTGATAGAAAGCCCCGGCAACAATCTGCAAGTTTTCTCTGGAGCCGACAGCTGGACTTCCCTACCCCCCACCCCGCACGCCAGCATCCTGTCTGTGCCCCACACCAGCGGCCCCATGAACCCAGGGCCCAGGTAAGACCGACACCCACAACCTGCCCATGGGTCCCGGGTGGGGGGGCACAGGTCAGCACTGGGGTCGCAGGGGCATCCTTCTTCCCAGGCTGCTTCTGTCCCGACTTCTAAGCCCCGGGGCCCTGAAAGCGAGCAGGATGCACTTTCGCTCCTGCAGGAAGGGAGGCGGGGAGGCAGCTGCTCGCCCCGTGCCAGTTTGGGGGGACCTTTGGCATTTCACTTTGAAATGGCCTGGGATCTTCGTCTCCAACCAGTCAGAAATGCTGTAAATGGTGGCGGTAGCAGGTAGACGATGAATGTAGGGGGATTGAAGGGGAAAGGGGCAAGCTCACACTGAGAATTCAAGACCTTTGTGCAGATTCTTCTACGCTGCCCACCCTGACGGGGGGTGTCTGGCTCACGATGCAGATATCAGGGTGCAGTGTAGCACATGGGGCGCATCACATAACTCTCACACTGGAGACCCGAGTTAGTTCTGACTTCTGGAACCCGGTGTGGGGAGCGAGCGAAGGGGGCCTGGGGTCGGGCAGACATGGGCACGAGTCCCAGTTCTCCCTGGATTGATTGGGTGACCGTGGGCAACTTTCTGAGCCTCCCGGAGCTTCGGCCGTCCCGTCTGGGATAAGATGAGCTGCTCTGTGGAGCTGCAGTGAGACGGAGAGAAGATGCGTCCGAACGCTGTGCGAGCAGTGAGTTCTGCGCTGTGTCCGCTCTTGTGCTCGGCAGGAGGGTGCAGAACTCTGAGGAGGCCCAGAGGGGAATTCAGAGTTCAAAGACGGGAGTAGGGCGTGTCGGAGGACATGCAAGTTCATGGTCCCGGAGGAAGCGAGGAGGATGCAGGGTCTGGGACCGCAGCCGTGCTTCCGCTGCTCTCCTGTGCTCAAGCATCGCCTGGGATGTCGGTCAAGTGCACAGTTCGGGCCCGAGAGCCTGTGTTTGCCACAGGCTTCCAGGTGGTGCTGACGTGACTGTAAATGTGACCTTGGCATTGCTGTGCCCACAGGGGTCCAGTGCCAGGCTGCCCAATGCAACCGCCCCCAGCCGCCTGGGGCCACCGAACCTTTGAAATGCAGCTCGTCCAAGTTGGGAAGACTTAGTACAAAGCAAAGTATTTTTAAAAAATCAGTGATATTTTGTTTACATCAAAGGAAATAGGAAATATCTTCAGTTACCTAAAATAGTATTAACAATGAGAGCTCTATAAACATGTGGCCCCTAGGAAAATTGTCCTGGCATTTGGGGGCTCACATTTCATTTCAGTGAGCGTGTGACCAGGCAGTGGGGTCCCAGGGAAGCACACCAATCTGGGCTGCGCCAGGAAGTGGGAAGGAACGTCCCTAAGGATTCTCAGTGATCACGTGCCAAGCCCTGTCCTGGATGCTTTATGGGAGTCACTCAGAGTGCTCAAGGGCATCCACAAGGCGGGTATTAAAACGTCTGCTTTACTGTTGGAGGAACTGAAGCTGAGCAGCGTTAGAAACTTCCAGAAGGTCCCACAGTGAGTTACGTGACTCAGAGCCCATGGAGTCCCACAGCCGTCAGAAAGGGGCCTCGAGCGACGTCGCAGAGGAAATTGGGACCAGGGTCCCCACAAGCTGAGCTGGCAGGGAAGATAGAGTCCAGGGCGGGCTCCCGCAGCTTGTGTGGGAGCCAGTGATGCCCGGGATATGGCAGGGTGCCAGGCAGCACTGCCCCCTGCCTTCCTCTGTGCCGTGTTTAACCCATTCCCGCCCCTTAAGGATTTTCTCGAGGAAAAGCCACGAGTCAGAACCGTCACTGGGTGATGAGCCTGTTCTCGGGTCAGAACTCAGCGCCGATGGGGGCTCGGAGCCCTGGAGGTCACTCTGTCACTTCCAACTGCTGTCCTTCCCACCTGGGTTCTGTGTCAAGGTGCAAACTTGGCCCCACCTGACACTCGGCTTCATCGCTTTGAAAGATCCTGATACCCAGGCCGAGTGCCCAACCAGGCAAGTCAGAGTCCAGGCCTGGGACCCTGGCCGCTGTCTCCGAAACACTCTCTGGGGGGCTCAAGGTGCAGCCAGTCCTGTGAATGACAGAAGTCCCGGAAGTGGTCCAGCTGCCGGCCTTTCCGCCAGGGGCCGGCAACGGGAGAATTCACTGACGGCCACCCTACACTGAGCACTGTGCGCTGGGCACCGCCTTCTCATCCGATCGAGCCCTCCCAGCGATATCTGGACATACACGTAATCATCACTCCCAGGCTGGAAGGTGGGAAACTGAGGCTCAGAGATGTTAAGGACTTCGATGGAGGTCACAGAGCTAATTGTGGGAGAGGCGGGATTCTGTCCCAGGCTTTCCAGCCCCCGTGTGTCCGGCGATGATGCTACACGGCCTGTCCTGGCCAGTGAGGCATCTCACGCACAGGTCAGACCGTCCAAATGCCCCTTTCACGTCACCCACCCCCTGCGTAGGCCTGGAGGAGGGAGGCGCAGAGACGTGACTATGCCGTGGTCACAAGCGAGTGGCTTGCTAGCGGCAGGGCCAGCCTCAAAGCTCAGGTCTCGGGACGCCGAGCGTAGGCTTATCCTGCTACATCTGGCCGCTTCCCTGGGCTTCTCTGCAGAAACAGGGCCTGTTGGTGTCAGAGCTGGACATCAGGTCGTGGCCAGGACACCCCTCCATGGCCCTCTCAACGTCGTGTGCTTGTCAGGGGCGATCCCTCCTGGGAATGCCACTCATGTCCCCCTGTCTTTCTGTCTCTGCAGCCCCTACCCGTGCCTGTGGACCATCAGCAACAGTGGCGGGGGCCCTGCCGGGTCGGGCCCAGAGGTGCATGCCGGGTCCCCGGGAGCGTTTCTCCTGGGCAGCCCCGCAGTGACTGCGCCCCTCTCCACCCAGGCTCCCGCTTCGGCGGGTGTGGAGGTTCTGGGGGAGCCCTCGCTGACCAGCATCGCCGTGTCCACCTGGACGGCAGTGGCCTCACACCCATTCTCGGGCTGGGGTGGCACCGGTGGGTGTGGGCGCCATTCTCCCTCCTCTTTGGACAGCTAGGCGGGGTCTGAGGGCATGTGTCTGCAGAGGACCTTCTGGTGTCCGGCACTTAGAAACCCCACCCACCAATTCCAGTGAGTGAGGCCGCAGGCCCTCGCCCCTCCCCAGCAAGCTGCAGGGTGGAGTGGGTTCCTGCATCCGCTGATTAGTGGGTTGTTCAGTGTGCACGATGCTAGTTACGTCCTTGGATCTTTCTCCCCAGTTTTCCTGCGTTCTCACTCCCTCTGCAGTGTGTCCACGCTGTGCTTGGGCAACGGCGGGTCGATGAGCATCTTTCTGGTGCCTCACCCTTTCTCCCAAGTGATCCTGGGAGGCCGTACTCCTCTTTGGTGACAGGGTGCAAAGCTGTTAACAGAGCCAGGCCTGCCCACCTGAGGCCACACCACTTGGTAGCTTTGCGCAGCCCTGGAAGGGGTGTGTGGCTACAAGGCTTCTATCCTGAGTGATAGAGAGGCCGCAACTCAGAGTGAAGGTCACAGAGACGGAGCTGACCATGTTGTTCAGCAGGCAGCCCGGGACTGAGGACTTGAGACCGTGTGGCCCCCTTGCTCAGGAACCTCCGGTGGCTCGCCCGTGCCTGCGGGCTGGAGTCACACGCCCTCACCTCCAGGGGGTCCTCTACCATCCCATCTCGCAGCTTCCCCAGCCGGGGCTCCCCGAGACCCGGTAGCACCCTGGATTTCAGTCCAGGGAGACGGTCGTCTGTGCGTTCGATGGGCTTTCACGTCGCTGTACCTTCTCCTGTGCCTGAGCTGCCCTCTGTCCAGCCCCATCGTGCGGATGCCACCCCTCTCCCGGGTCAGTGCCGCTGCGGATGCCCCGCCCAGGCTCACTTGGGCTCTCCCCGTGCCCCCTGCTGCCTTGCCTCTGTCAGGGAACGTGCCCCATTCTGCTTGTGCTCTTACAGACTGCAGGTGTGCCCTGTCCCCAAGACTGCAGTGTGCCCCTCCCCCCCAGACTGCAAGCCCCTGGGACAGAGGCCTCACCCTGTTTCATACCCACGCCCTGGTCTGTGCCTTGCCTGTTGTAGGTGCCCAATAAACACTGGCTGAGCTGAACTGGTGTGAAGCACGTTTGCTGAGGGGGGAGCGGTGCAGGCGGAGCTCAGAGACGCAGGTCGGGGTTGGGTGGCACTTTGGTGTGGGGACCCGGGAACACACTGGGGCAGCCAGCTCTCAGGATTGCTGACACGTGGAGGAGGTGCTGGCCAGAGCGGCCGCTCCCAGGCACTGGTCCTTGGCTCCCTTGTGGTGGGAGCATTCGGGGCACCTGCTAGAAATACAGATCCCCGGGAACATGCCACACCAGCGCGACCCGAATCACAGGGTTCAGAATCCAGGAATTTGCATGTCAAACAAGGGCTCCAGGTAATGGCCACAGAGTCAGGTTTGGAGAACACTTGCTTAGAATAGAGAAATTGAATGAAATACTCTAGGAACCCAATTTCAGAGAAAAGTTTCAACCTCTGCCCCTGCCAAGGTCACTGCTGTAGTAGCCAATGAGCAAAATCGCTGTTTCACTGGTTCCCCTGTGTGTCTACTACCCCACTACTGAGTGTGCCGATAGCCCCGGGAATGGGGTTTCCAGACCTGGGTGGCGAGGGGCTCCCCCAGCACTGACGTCACACCGCACCGAGGCAGCTGTCCCTCAGGGCCTCTCAGAGGGGGTCCAAGTTGCCACTCGGAGTCTGGCATTGGTCAGCTGCCCGCCCTGTTACTCACCCGTGGAGCCTGCTCAAACCCGCCCCGCACGGAGCCTGACTCCGTGTGTGCAAACACGGCCCTAATGAGTCCTCGTTCCATCTGCAGAAGAGGGTCCTCGAACAAGCCGTTCCCATTTTGGGGCTCAGATCTCTGGAAATGGGCACCCAGCCAGCCGGTGAGTGCACTCAGGGCTGCCTGGCCGGAGCTCCGGGTCCCCCGTGTGTGAGGGATGGGGTCGCGGTGCACCCACACCACCGCTCTTTGGGAAGCTGCCTGCTCAGCGTGCCCCCAGACAGGGCCCTTCGGTTCCCCGTCCCTCCACGATGCCATTAGAGGCCATTAAGGGATTACCGTATTAGCCTCTCTGCAAGGCGCTCTTTTGGCAGGTTGTCAGAAGTGGCCATTCTCGTTCAGTTAGAAGCGGAGACTGTCGTGGCCTCCCATTGCCCGTGCAGGCCAGGCTTGTCCTTCTCGGGGGTCGTGCACTGAGATGCGCAGTAAATGCAGCCCGGCCTGTGCACAGCTCTCCTTAGTCCAGGTGGCCTCGGTGGCTCGCCTGGGACAGAGGGGCCTCCTGGAACGTGGGAGTTCCAACCTGAAGTCAGCCAGATTGGGTTTGCCCAGGATGAGCTGGTGGACCGGCACCAAGGAAGGAATCCCTGTAGTGGGCTGAGGATTGGGGGGGAGCACAGGGTCCTGCTGTTTTGCCCACCTACGTTGTTCCTGATAAGGGAAGGGGCTGAGAGGAGCAGAGGGGGGAAACCTGAGCCCCACCCGCCCTCCTCGGTGGCCTGACTCCACACGGCTGCACTCTTCCCAGCATCCTGTAGGGGGCTCTGTTGCTTAGCACAATGCCGTGCAGATGGCCACGGCTGCACCAGAAGCGTCGGGTGCAGTTAAGACAGCTGCTTGTTTCACAACAGACAACCTTGTCCATCTGTCCAGCTGTCGAGAGCCTCCCTGCCAAGGGCTCAATGCGGTCTGAGACCTAGAGACACTGCCTGTGAGCCTAAGGTTTTCTTCTCTTGAAGTAGCTCCAAACTGCAGGCTGGGAGCAAGGCCCAGAGTTGGTGAGGCTTCCGACAGCGACCCAGGACCCGAGCTGGGAGTCCCGCGGGCTCAGAGCACTCCCGAAGGCAAACGTGGGCTTCCTCCCCAGCTCACACCCCAGGCCGTGCCCCCTGGTAAGGCAATCACCCAGGACCCATCAGGTACTAGCAGGTTGTTGAAGAGGCGGGGCCCCTTCAGGGGCTTGGCCAGGTGGGGAGGGCCAGCTCTGGGACAGAAACCTCCTCCTGCGCCCTGCTCTCTGGTCCCCACAGTTGTGCGGGGTGTGGGCTTTACCTTGGAGAGCAGGTGTGCCAAAGTCACATTGTAAGAAGAGCAGTGCTCTTGTAGCCATTTTTTTTGGGGGGGGGTGAGAATAACAATCTGCCACGTCAGTCCAGGTTCAGTTTTAATGCCAGCTGCTCAACTTGGGGTCCTCTTGTTCCCCAAAGTTCAACCAACCCTAAATTATCATGCATCCCAATTCAAAGTTTTAAACTACTAAGGGAGAAGTTTTCTCCCCCCAGACAGAGATGGAGAATGTTCTGGGTAATTCTGGGCCAGGGTGGACTTTCCCAAGTTCCTTTTTGATTGACAACACAGCCCTTTGAAGGTTGTGGTTCCTGTAATGGCCGCTGTTTTGCTTCTTCAGGCGGCCTTGTCCCTCCCGGGGTGAGGGTCCCCGGGAACGTGGCTGCCTTGCCTTCATTTCTGTCTTTCTAGCTACTGGACACACACCCGTGACATGGGAGAGGCCCTGTGACTTTCTGAACTCTTCTTCCTGTATCTTGACCTCCTGCTTTATTGTGCCCAGTCATTCCTGCTGACTTATTTTATCTCGATATATATGTTTTTAAAAGTTTGTTGTGTAAAGACCCCCTGGGATTCCTGAAGGTAGGAGGCCATTGAGCTAGATAAATGAATGATGTTAGGGGCTAGCACGTATCTGATTCTGAGTTTTTGCAAGGCGCCGAGCATAAATATTTCAGAGCAATGCCCTTAGGAAGATGAAGGATGGAAAGTGGTCCTCGGTCCTGAGCCTGCTTTGGGGGACACTCCCATGCGTGTTTCTACCCAAACACAAAAGCAAGTAAAACTCCCTCTTCCCTGCCTCCAGTTTATCTGCATGGGCCCTGAAAGGCCTTTCAAAAGGTGTGGCCTCCACAATGTGCTCAGCTTGAGGGTTCAGCGCTGTTCCCCTTAATCCTGCTGAGTTGCAGGTCACCGTGTGATGCAGCCGAGGCTCTCCAAAGTCAAGAGTGGGGGACAAACGAAGTTAGGGGGAATGGGCAACGCAGAAAGTGTAGTTAACGTAAGACTTGATGGCACCATTGTTTACGGGAGAGTCTGCGCCTTGGCATCATATCTCTTTCTGTGGGTCTCTCCACCCCTCAAAATGCTTCCCATTGGTTCTCATGAGGATGATTGGATTTTCCATGCAAAAGGGGGGAAATGGGAGAATTTTAGAAATAAATTCCCAAACCTCACTTTAGTCATTAGTTTAAACGCCCACCCCACCCCTCCCTATCCGACTTCTTGGTGGGCTGCTTGATTAAACAGCAAACACTAGGTGACCCACATCCCTTCCCCTGCCTTTCCCCTGACTCCTGTTACTAGTTCTAAGCCCCAGGGCTGGTGTCTGTTTTGTTTGGGGACTTCACAGCACATTCTCGTATTATCTCAAACACGAAGATGTGAGAGCCCCACGGAGCAGCTTCAGCCCACAGCTCTGGGTCAGGCACCTGTGACTACCTCCCTGCCCCCCCCCCCCCCCCAATGTCAGCACCACCTCCCAGAAATCCTGTCTGCAGTGGGTCACCCGTCTGCTCAGAAACCTCCGGTGGCTCACTGTTGCCAATGACAATATGAGGGCCAAATTCCCCAGCCCGCCGTTTAAAACATTCCAGAATGGAGCTCCACGTGCTATCTAGCCTACCCACTGTTCACTTGTAATGAATGACCAGGAACCACGTTCCTAGATGAGAAACAATTTCCTCCCCAATGTCTCCGAGAACTAGAAAATCCGATTCAATGTTGCAGCCCCCGACCCTCCTGACCAACAAGTTCATAACCTTGTTGTTGAAGGTTTGAAGAAGTCTCCTGGGCACGCTCCCCGTCTGGGGTGCATGGAATGCAGACCAGCTGCTGCCGGGGCGTTGAGCCGGCCCCGGGGCTGCAAACAGTCACCGTGAGACCTGGGTTTACATACATGAGCTTCAGCAGTGTGTTCTTCCAGAGTGTGTGTTTTGTGGCTGCTTCACAGGCTTCTCCCCCCCGCCCCCCAGCCCTGCCCTGTGGGAAGTCGTGCAGGCCACAGCTCAATGGTCTGCATCCCCTGGAGAGTTCAGTGCCTGGATTTGAAATCCCTGTTCCTCTCTCAAAAGTCATGGCATCAGTGTTCAGAGCTCTGGGGGGAAAAGGGAGATTGAAGAACCTGGGGAAAATCACACTGCAAAGGCCTGGAGGTGGGAGGGAGTGAGGGCAGACGTCGGCCTGTGGGTGTGTGTCTTGCTGTGTGACCAGGGTCCGTCCCCAGCTCCAAGCCTGAAAGTCAGCCTCTATGGACCACCCACTGGGAAAGTTGGCTTCTCGGCCGCATCAATCCCACAGGCAGACGCTAGGTGGCAGCAAAGCGTCGGTTCACCCACCAGCCCACTGCATCCTGGCAGAACATCTTCTGACGCAGAACTTAAAAAAAGAAGTGATTCTGCAGATTTTTCTTTTGCAGAAAGAGCTACCCATGCAAGCCTGGCGTCTCTCAGGACAGCCATGGCGATAACTGAGACGTCACCAGGACTAAAGCTGCTTTCTGGATAGAACAGGCAAACAAAACAAACACACAACCCCCACCCCAGGCGAGCCATGGTTTATGAAACACCTCTGAGGATGCAAGGCCATTTGGTCCTGATGCTTCTGAGCTGGCGGTTCAATGTCAGAGGTGTGCACACTGCATTGCAGGCGCAGGGGAAGGACCCGTGGGGCACAGGAGAGGCCATGAAAATAACAGCGCTCCGCCGGGGGCCAGCCCACCTTAGCAGAGCCTCCCCAGGACCACCTGGTTCTCAGCAAGCCCACCCCACCGCCCTGCTCCCTACTCCGGCTTGCACACTCCGCTCCTCAACATGTTAGAGCACTGTCCAAGCCCTTTAAGAAGCCAGCCTGTTTCAGTTGAAGCTGTTACACTTGCAAAAGCAATCACCTTGCAGAAGGCCAGTTTTCAGCTTGCTCGAAAGCTGTGTGTGTGGCTCTAGAGACAGCAGGGAGATCAGGAGTTGACAAAGGCCACCAAGAGGAGGC